GGCGTGTACATGCCCCCTGCGAGCCTCCGCACGGCGCAGTCACCTGCAGCGACCATCAATGGCACGAAACGTGATGGATTTGGTGCGGCAGAGGCGGACGAGGAGAACGAGCGCAGAACCTGAACGTGGTCTCGAGCTCCCACTCCACCGTGACCACCTGAATCAACTCAGATGCAGGTTCATCACACTGATCTCGTAGAATGGCAAGCTCAAAGGCGTCATGTACATGCTTGCCCGACTTCGTATGCACTGTACATAATGACCCGTAGCCTTAGTAGTATGACTTGATATGCTTGTAATGTGCTGTACTACGAGGGAACACTGACTAATGGTATAACACTTACCTGCTTACAATGGCTTTGATTGCACACTATTAACGTGAAGCTAGTATGAATACGAAGAGCACGACTGAAACCACATGAGTCAAGCAAGCTACAGAACTACTACACAATGTCTTCACGAGTCGGGTACCACTCCGCAACTGATCAAGAAGAGGTTGGGAATGATTGGTAGGGCTCTGAAAGCTGGGCGCCTTGCTTGGGTGACTAAGGTGTTTTTCCTGATGGAACCCCAACCGCTGGAAGGCGACGACTACATCCCGACAGCGGCTCACCACCTCCTGTGGAGCGGCATCAACCCCACTCTAATCACTGAGAATCATCGCCCGCACCCAGCACCCCTGCCTCCTCGCACTCCTGCTCCAGCGCTGCCTACACCCCGAGCTGGGCCCAGTCACGATGTAGCTCCCCACATGGACGTGCGTCACGACCAACCACTTGAGTCCTGGCTACCTCGGGCCCGTCCGTACCCTCCGCCAGCCGCAGCCGCCGCGCCGTTCCGCGTCCCAACCAACGCTCCAAACCTCCCCGCGAGACCACACACAAGCACGGCACGCGGACGACCGCTGGCAACCGGTCGCCTCTCTGCGGTTCCCCGAATGTTCGCGCCACGCGCGGTTTCTAACATCGCTGCGCCCCTGAGAATGAACACCCCGCGCGTCGAGCAAGTGCGCACGAGAACGCCGCAAGTCGGCCAGGCGAGGCCCCCACCCGCGCAGGAGAACGACGTCTTCTGGCACCATGCCGAGCCTCCCGCACCCCCCCGCCACATCCGTACGCCCGCACCGCTCTTCCAACAGCCACAGGAACCTGAGATCCTATGGAGAACTCCCCTCACGAGGACTGCTTTCGAACCCGAACGAGCTGTAGGCCGCATGCCTGCGGCTGGTGGCTTTGTCTTCCCACCGAACTTCCAGGCCGAGCCAGACCTCATCCTCAACGCTCTCCCTCCTCCTCCCCCATCACGTGGAAGCCGCAACGCGACACCCGGCCCAGCCATACCTCGACACCTTGCAGCACCCGTACCCCGCCGTCCTCCGACTTTCGAACCGCAGGATGTAGAGATGGAAGACTTGTACCAAAACGAGCAATACCTACCCGTCGGAATGCCACCCCAGCCGCTGCCGGTCGACGCCCACCCCATACGTCAAAACCCTATCAACCAACACGACGGCCGACACGAGCACGCTGCTCCTCAACCCGCCTTCAACGGCCCACGCGCGCCAACTCTCCTGCCAGCTCACCCGATGTCGCTACCGGGCGAAACTCCAGCACCTAGCGGAGGATGGCGCGTCATCGCCGGGGGCTTCGACCCCTCCTGGAAGGTCACAAATGTCGCGAGGACGCAAGTCGACGACTGGACCGAACGTAACCGCCCAGCCGTCTTCCTTCAGATACCGAACAGAGGAACTCTGGACGCAGGTGGCTACGAATGCCGTCTTGCGATGGAAGACGCGCTGAAGCGGATGGGAGTAGCTAAGCCCGAGATCGAGTTCCCTACACCCGAGAACGAGGAGGTCGGAGAGAATGCTCCGCCACACTGGTGCGTTGCTTTCGGACCAACGACCCAACAATGCAGCGATCTTGTTGCGAAACGCTGGGTCTCCACGAACGACACCACCTTCGCGATCGTCGAGTTCTCGTTCGATACGTCCCACTTCGTGGGCTTCTGGCAAAATCTTGAGTACTTCGACGACGCGAGCTTACCCGGCATGCGACACGCCTTCCGGAACGCGATCCTCTTCCTCTATCAACACGGCGACCTCAAGAACGTGATCCTACGCGATATCGGCACCCTCGGCAGGTGGCACGGCCAAACGCCGGCATACGTGATCGACTACATCTTGCAGTCTGTACAAGTCGACCTACTCGAATGCCGTGGCCCACGCTCGCGCCGGAACACGCTAGTCCGGCTATACTGCGAACCACCCACGTCGAGCCTAAGCGAGTGGCTCGCTTTCCGCAAGGCCCTAAGCGAATGCCGCCTGAACAGGCCGGGCGCAAAGACACCAGTATACGTCGAGAAGACGTTCAAGTGTCGGTACTGCCACTGTGTAGACCACCCGACTGGTCTATGCTACCTCAACGACGTCCCGTTGTGGCACGGTCCCGAGAGAACGCCTGACGAGCCTACCGCGACTGAACAAGCCCAGCCTAACCGTAACAACGCATCGCGAGGCCGCGGCGAGACAGGCGGCAGAGGCGGTAAGAACATGGGTCACCACAGAGGTGGCAACGGTGGCAAAGGTCGTGGCAACAGGCGTTGATACTTCCCCTACTCATGTGCACCATCAGTCTTGTATATCGCAGGAATTCTACTGCTGATCGAATGAATGAACATCATGTCCCTAACTCTCGCAGCAAACTGATCTGAAACGGAACACGTTCAAAACTGACCAGAACCACGCCAATCGAGTTGCCCACATATACTGACCGCAATGCGGGACAGGAAAGCACTTGTAGGCGCGGCTCTCCCTCTTCTCTATTCCAGCGACGGGCACTCATAGACTTGCCCGGTCGAGAGACTTAAGCAACAGATGCCTCAGCATCTCGCGCATGTCACCTGAGAGGCCCAGGAGCGGCCTCCTCCTCCCGTGGATCGTTGTAGCGGGAGGCCTGATAGCAACGGCAACATCACACATCGAAAACACACACACGGTACGGAATACTGGCAACGGCTCAACTCTCCTCCGACAGAGAGAGATCGCCGCGCCTCCTGTCCGCGTCGATCCCAATGACCAGCCGGAGGAACCTGGCGGCAGGGCGACTGCCGACACCACACCGCATGCCAATGCGTCGATCGGCAGCCGGGAGACTAGAACGCATAGAGCGCACGACCCCACCACTCCGCATGCCCAACCTAGCACGAACACACACCCATGCCACAAAAAGAAGGGCAGACGAACAAAAGCATCAATAACGATCAGTACTCTAAACATAAGCGGCCGCGGTGTGGTGATGGCGAGTCCCCGGTGCGTGGACGACGCGGAAGGGAATTCTTGGTATCGGTGAAAACGATGGGCGGGGGTCGTTGGTACAAGTTGACGGTTGGCGGAGGAAGCGAGCGAGGTCTGTGGTACCTCGCGGAAGGGAAAGGGGAGATGGGGTGGTGCGCCGCACGCTTCGTTCGCGATGTCTTTTAGTGAAGACTGCCTTTCCTGAGCCTGGTATACTCGATAGCCTTCCCTCCGACGTTCCTAACCTGAGCTCTCCTCGATCCTGAGCCTGAGCCTAACTTCTGCGACCTTCCTTAGCCTGAACGCGAGCCTGAGACGAGACCTGAAGCCTGAGATTGCCCGGTGCAACCTAGATACTGAGTCCTCAGAGGTGGTGGTAGGTAACTAACTCCCCTTTTCCTCCGTCTCCCCCTCTAAGTCTCCCTCCGCCGCTGTTTCCCACGTCCCACCCTCGCTGGCATCCGTTTCTCTCCTTTCCCGTTCCTTCCGCACCCGCCTCGTCTCCTTCCGACACCTCCCCGTACCCTCCTCCAGCTTCTTCCGCTTCCTCCGCCAGGCCCTCAGTGCTCCCCACCGTCTCCGATGCCCGTCGATGCTCCCCCAAACCCGTCCACCATCGTCTTCACCACCCGGTTCTACCGCCTCATCGATCTTCTCCGCGACGAGCGTGTAGTAGAGCCTCGCCTGAACCCCGATAGTGACCGCGAATGGCTTGCCTGGGCCCATGGAGCTCGATGGTTAATCGTGCGTCCTTTTTCCTCCGTCCTGATTCCCGATCGTCCTTCTAAGCGGCCGTTCTCCCCGCGCAGCGAATGCTCTTCGACTCTCGTTCCCGTGCAGTGGCCCACGGCGATGCTTCCCTTCCGCTCGTCCGCCGCTACCCTGACGTGCAGGAGCTGATCGAGTATCTCGACCAGGTCTTCCTCACTCTTCCGTCGCAGCATAGCTATGTCGGCGAGCCTTTCCCTCTGATTGCCTGGGCCCCGAACCGAGTCACCGCCGAGCAAGCCGACGCAGAGATTGGCCGTCCCCTCCTTCCGGTTCGCTACTTAGAGCGTCCCTTACAGCTCTCGTCCTATCGTGCTTCTTCCGACAGCCTCGACGGCCTCCTTAGTCGGTTTCAGGGCCTCCTTGATGAGTGCCGCACCGCTAACCGTGACGCTCGTTCCGAGGCTGTCCATATCGCCCGAGGCCTAAATTCTGTTGAGGCCAGCGTCCGCGACTTACACGTTCGCTTATCGGAGGGAGTGTACGTTCCCGACGGCTACTCCGGGATACCGCGTCGCCTGCGGTTCGCGCACCCTCAGGACTTCGAGGCGATGGAGGAGGGAGAGGTCGAGGATGAGGTGCCGGAGGGACCTGGTGTTCATGTACAGTAGCTGTCTTCAATCCGCAGTTTTACTTGGTCGTCCTTCGCCGAGGCGTTTTTCCTCCAATCGACGTTGCTTCGTTCCGCGTTGTCCTACACCTGAGAGTGCGTCGTTCCGAGCTCGTACTGGTGCTCCCATGTGGGCCCACCCCACATCTACCCCCACCTTGAAATTCTGACCGTCCTCGGTCAGACTCCTCCCCTTCCTAATCCAGCGCGCCTCCGCTGCCCTTAGGATTGTCCTAAGTCCTAAGTGATCGGTGATCGGCCGCGCGCCTCCGCCCATCTCGCTTCTCCAGCGCTCCGCCCGACGCGTTGATTGGCTGGGATCGCAGCCTGATCGGGCAATCTCCTTCCGATCAGTGTGGCTAGGCCTCCCCTCTTCCGCGTATAAGACCTGCTGCGGCTTGTGCTTCTCCCTTCCGTCTTTCGTCTCGCTCCCTTCTTCCCCTCACCAGCTATGTCTCGCCCTTCCCCGTCTCCCTCCGCTACCTTGGACTTCACCGCCGGGCTCCCTGACGAGGACTATCCGACCCGCCTCGCCGCCTCCGCCGAACTGGTCGCCCTTGAGGCGCGAATCAGCATTGTCGCCGCTCGCCAACCGACCATGGGTCGCCACCCATCGCACGCGCAAGCGGGTGCGTGGTTGGTCTGGGGTCGTCAGTTGTGTTACGCCTGGGTAAGCGGCCCCGTCCCCCTCCTTCCCTCCTCCGCACCTAACGGATGTCATAGGCCGTGTAGTACGACGTGCACCTCGACTACGTCCTCACGCACGGGCTGTTCGAGACACGGTTGCGTCCCGAAACCGAGGCCGCCCTGGACGAGTTCTGGGAGCGACTGGAAGGCTTTGCCAGCCAACCATCCCGGTACCAGGGCCCCCTCCAGACCCTCCAGCGCGAGGCCCAGCTGCGTGGCCGCCGGTATGGGTCAACCGGCTACTGGGCCGGCACCACGTTCGAGATTTCCCCGGCTGTCCTCGCCCCTTCGCGCCGCCCCGCCTCTCGTGCTCCATCCCCGTCACCAGTCCCTCATCCGTCCCCTCTCCCCGCCACCGCCGCACACCTGTCTCCCCTCCCCGAGCCTCCCCGGTCGCCGCCCCCCGAACCTCGACCTCTGTCCCCTCTCGAGTACGACGAGCCGATGGTGCGTCAGTCTCCCGTCTCCGAGCCTCCCCGGTCGCCGGCCCACGAACCTCAACTTCCGTCCTCCCTCGAGTATGACGAGCCGATGCCTGAGCCCGCGGCCTGGAACAGTCCCGTTCCCCCGCCCACCGTGCATCTCGTGGCCCTTGAGGACGTTCCGGCGCCCGAGCCCACCCTTTCCGTGGCTGGGCCGTTCGGGTTCCCTTTCCCTGAGCCGGCTCCCTCCGCCTCCGGCCGCTATGCCCGCGCGTCCTCGCTCGCGTTCACCGAGCGGGGCCCTTCCGTCCCTCCTCCCGTGCCGTCGGCTGTTCGCCGCCGCCCGCCTCTTCGCCTCTGTTTACTGAGAGAGGCACACCCGCCCCCCCCTTCCTCTGTTCGCGCCGTCGCCCTCGCCTCCCATCGCCCCTTCCATACCGTCTCCTCCCCCCGGTCCTCCGCGCGGAACCGCCCTGTCTCGCGCGCCACCGACCCCACCTCCGATTGACACCATCGAGGATGACGCGCTGGAGCGGTCCATGTCGCCTCGCGCGCTGGAAGAGGCGATTTTCGCCAGCGACATCGGGACCCGGCTCTACCGCCCGACCCAACCGTCCCCTCCTCCCGCTCCTCGCCCGTCTCGCCCGATGCCGCGCCGCGTCCACCTCAAGCTTCCCAACCGCGGAGGCGTCCCGGCCGTTCCCCCTTCGCCGACAATCGTCCTTCCGTCCCCCGCTCTCCCCGACAAGTTCCCTCCGGTGCCGCAGCGCACTTCCAATGCCGAGCGCCCGCGGTATGGGCCCTACGTCTACTCCCCGACCACTCCTTGCCCTGAGTGCCGTCGCAACCGCTTCCGGTGCCGCATCGACGCCCTTCCGGGCCACGCTTGCGCCGCGTGTAGTTCCCGGAAGAAGAGGTGCGCGTTCAGCGCCTTCAGTGAGTCCCGTCTTCGCCCCTCCTTTTCCCGCCTGCCGTCCTTGCTGACTTATCTCCTCGTTTTCCAGAGGAGGGGGCCCCAAGCTTCTTCTACATAGGCCACCATCCCGACCTCCCTCAGTCCGCCCTCGACTTCTACGACTGGGTGACTACCCCGGGAGGCACCCTCGTCGGTCCCCGCCCTTCGGATATCCGAGCCGACTTCCCCTTCCGCGGTGCTCCTGTGCCGCCTCCTCAGCCTCCCGCCCCTTCCGCATCCTCCGAGTTGGTCGCTGGCCCCTCGCAGCCTCCACCCGCCCCCTCGACCGCGCCCGCCGCTCCTCCTCGCCTCCGAACCGTTCAGGATCGCCTCGATTGGATGGCCAGCCGGTCTGGCGAAGTCCGGCAGTTCTTCCGCCGCCCCGGTCTGCTCGGCGCCCCTGAAATCCCCGACCCAGAAGATGAGCACGACGAGCTGGAGGAAGACGTGGAAATGGAAGGTCCGGAGAGGCCTGAGCGTGAGTTTGAGTCGGAGGAGGGCCAGTAGGTAGTCGTAATTGCGCAGTAGTCTTCTCCCCCGATGTACATCCCTCCATGTCGAGTCCCGCCATTGTACAATGTATCTCTGCTTACTCCACGAGCCCCGCCGACCGCGCCATGTTCGTCCGCCCGTGTGATAGGCTCCCCGAGCCCGCGCATTCGTTTCCCCCACTTGTCACCGGATGGGCTGCCCGTTGATCCCCAATCGCCTCGAGGCTTCCGCCCTGCGCAATCACCTCGAGGCTTCCATCCTGTGCGCCTAGCTCGTTGATCCCTTTGATTTCGAGCTGTGCCGACGCCTCAAGGCTACTGATCCTCCTCCTTCCCCTTCCACAGTCCACTCCTACCCTCATTATCGCCATCAATCCGTCCTTGCCTCGGGTATGCGGGTTGTCCGTCCGTTCCACCTCCCGCATCGTTCTTAAACCGCGCCCCGAGCAACTATCCCGCCCTGCACATCGCTTTCTCCCTACCCCTCTTTCTTCCGCATGAGCGGCCTTCAGACTCGCGTCCCCTCCACCGCTCGCCGCCTCTCCAGCGTCGAGCGTCGTCCCTTCTTCAATCCCGATGAGATTCCCCTTCCGTTCCCTCCGTCGCCTATACCGGTCAATCCTTCCGCTCCGGTTCCGCTCTCAGCCATCCCTATCGAGGAGCGCCTCGCTCGTCTAGAGGCCTCTTCCGCCTGGCAAACCCGCCAGCAGGAACGAATCTGGAACGAATTTGTCGAGTTCCGCCGCACCGTCAACACGATGCTCGAGGCCCATGCTCGGGATATCGATCGCGGAGACACCCGCATCGCGATCCAGGTCAACGGGCTCCTCGACCTGTTCCTGGAGCACCGCCGGAACTACGAGTCCTACCTTAACACCCAGCGCCGCCTCGAAATCCGTGCCGGCTTCGACCGCGGGACCGTCGATCGTCGCCTCGATACTCTTGCTGAGAAGGTTCGTGCCCTGGAGGGCTTCCGGGGTTACGTCCGTTCCCGTCTCGACACTATCCAAAACGATTCCTCCGTCCAGGCCGCCCTCGACGTCATCGAGACCCAGCTCTCATACGTCCTTGAGCATATCCGCTCCACCCCATCCAGTTCGTCCGCCCATGCCTCTCCGCCCCTCCGCAGGTCACGCTCTCCCTCCGACGCGACGCCCCCACCTTTCCCCCCTCCGCTTGACTCCCCGCCTCCCCTTCTCTCCGTCAATCCCCTTCCTCCGTGTCCGACTCCTCCTCTTCGTCGTCCACGGCAAACCGCTCTTCAAGCTCTTCGTTCTCATCTGGTAGGTACTCCTCCCATTCTTCTAAGTCCGCAATCTCAACCCGCGCCTTGTCCCTTCCGCGATAGGGTATCACCCGGAATGCAGCGTATCTATGCCTAGACACACTCCCGTCCAGTTCCGCGAGGATGTATGATCCTCCCTCCGTCCGCCGTACCATGATCATTGGGCCCAGATACCGTTGCTTCGCCTTCCGACTATGTTCCGTCTCGATCTGGGAGTTCCGTACTAGCACTAGTTCTCCAGGTTCGAACTTGTAGTCCTTGATAGTATGTTCGTTCCGCTTAATGAACTCCTTGACCGACCTATACCTCGCCTTAAGTACCTTCCGATGTATATCGTTGAGATCCTCCCTCCGCTTCAGCAACTGTCGGGCTCGATGCGCGATAAACTCCTCTTGCGTCAGCATCTCCTCCGGTGCCGGGACCAGGTACGTTGCCTCCGCTAGGTCGAACGGGAAAATTGGCTCCACCCCGTGCATGATTCTGTAAGGTGACATCCCCGTACTTTTCTGTATCGATACCCGTTCCGCCCAGAACACCGCGTCAATTACTGACGGCCACTTCGACTCGTTTCCTCCGCATAGCTTCATCGTTGCTTCACGCACGTCAAAGTGCCTCCGCTCGACGATCCCGTTCGCTCTAGAGTTATACGGCGAGATCTTGATATGCCGAATCCCGTATTTCTTCGCCAGGTACTCCATCGCCGCAAGGAACGCAGGACCATTGTCTGTTACTATCTCCGCCACCGCCCCCCACCGACAGAGAATATCCTCGTATATCCATGCCCCAAGTATCGGGCCAGTCTCCCTCCGCAGCTTCCGGAACTCTGGGTACGATCCTAGCGAGCACCTCCCCTGCATCAGGAAAAACTCAGATGTCTTTTCAAGACACCAACGCTTTGCCTAAGCAAAAAAGTGTCCAAGACAAGTGCATTTCCGTTTCTGCTTGGCCAAGCGTACAAAATCTGGTGTATTCCTTAAACGGTTTGTTCACAAGCACACAAGCCTGTACATGCAGAGGCTGTGTGCTGTCTTGAGAGCTTGATGCAAGCACACAAGTTACATCCTTTCTGGCATACTTGATTACTTGGATTTAAGCCGTAGCATTTGACTGCAGATTGTTTACGATAATCGCTCTTTTCGGTTACTTCGTACAACAATGCGGTATATTCTTAACGACAATACAGAGCAAGTTTCCCAAATACACATGGTAGCTGCAACAGCGCGAAAGGCTCATGGACGTGAACGTGTACTACATGTTTCCGAGATAAGTGTATATACGTGGATAGTGTCTGACTCGGATACACTTCAGCACGAGCTTTGAAATAGAAACTATACCTTATTGAACTCACCTTCGGAAAACGGTGCCGCTTGTCATGTAGCAGTCAGGTCTCAGTAGGGCCAGCCTCGGCAGCACTGTCAACTGCTGGTGCCATTTGTAGTGGTCAGGTACATACACACCAGTCTATGCAGCCCTCACCTTGATCAACACGAGCGTTCATGATGTCGTCATCATCATTTGCATTCAAGAGCTTCGAAGGACCAGCAGTAGTGTCTGAACAACAGTACAAATTCAGCAATGTAAGGCACCAAAAACGGGCATACGCACCGTCGCCTGCCTTCGACACAAGAGGAGACTTCTTAGGCGATGGTTTACCATTCCCACCACTTGACGATGCAATCACATCCTTCGACGATGAAGACGCCGGTGGAGTGTGTGGGGCCTTCGACGGCTCGTTTCTCGTCTTATGCTTGGCCTCAAGCTGGGCGAATGGTATGTAGCCGTCATCGTCTTCTTCGTCCTCGCCTTCACTACTCGAGACGTAGACGTCGTCAATTCTAGCTCTAGAATGGTGGTTAACACGATGAACTTCGCATGTCTGATTGCTTACCCAATGTCCCTCCACAGCTTCTTCTTTGTGTCCTCGTATAACTGAGGAGCTTGCGACTTGAAGAGCTCGAGCACAGCCATGAGGCTGTCCCACCTGTTTGTAAAAAGAAATAGATGGTAAGATATAATTGGACGTAGCACGAACATTGCTTACTTCGGTGCATACTGCTTGTTAGCAAACTGGATCTGTGTTCCACTTGCTAGATCTTTCAGCGCCGCCTCGATCTGTAGTAGACGTGTCGCAGACATCAGTATTCATTGCCTCTTTAGTGCAAGAAACACATCGGACTTACAGCGTTGCAGACAAATGCGATGAGATTGTCGGGAACCGCGCGAAAGCGATCGACCGCAGCTCTGGCACCCGACTCCTTGTGCCCCTGGAACCATTGCTGGCTGATGATGTCGGCGATCGCCTTGTGCTGGAAAGGCAGCTCGCGATTGGCACGGCTCAGCTAAATAGGAACATTTATGTCAAACGGAAGAAGCACGTCTTTGAGTCGAGTCGAGTCAACGGACTTGCCTTAGTGTCGATCCTCTCCTTCTTCCAGGCGATGTCTATCTCACCAAAGATGAAGTTAGGTATCTCGCGGCGTACCTCGCGACGATCGCCACGATCGCCGACGCTCTTGATCTTGACACCGTGAGTCTTCAGAAGCCACTGCGCCAATGACGTTCTCTGCTGTGTCGTCAGACGCGACATATCGTAGGCGTGCTCGATGATGTTCTTGGCTTTTTTCTTGACCTCGTTCCGCATCTGGGACGCCGCCGTCCACACCTGCAGAGGATGATTGTTCTACACCATTTGGGAAGTGAGGCTACAGCACTCACTACAGCGTTCACTTGCTTCCTCAAACTCTCGGCTGAGTCCTTCTTCAGTGCATCGAAGGCGGTCTTCAACAGCGGGATCCTCCCGCCCTCCTTGTCGCGGTGGTTGCGTGCATCTTTGATGGCACCCTTGATGAGGGTGATGCTCGTGGGAAGACGAGCTCCATGCACCGTAGAGTCAATCGTCCACGCGTTGTCGAGAGCCAGACGAAGACGCAGGCAACTCTGGGCGACGTTGACGAGTGGCTTGATATGGACCGGTATGTCGCTAGCCTTTGCTCGACCACGAGCTGAACCTGAACCCTTCTCCGAGCTAGCCGGATCCTTGCCCTTCCCGCCTTTCCCGCCTTTACCGCCCTTCTTGTCATCCACGACCTGCGTGTGATGACTCACTACATCACCATGTGTACGACTAGCAGACTGAGTGACTTACCACCACATCATCACCACTGGTATCATCCTCATCCTCATCAACATCCTCATCGTCGCCCTCATCATCGTCGTTGTATTCTTCACCACTTGACTGATCTTCCATGAGCTGGTCTTGGTCATCGTCTTCGGAATGGCTCTGGTAGGTGAACAGCGATCCTGTGCTCTTGTTCTTCGCCTCGCCCTTCTTGTCGGCCGCCTTACGAGTGCAAGGCTCATCAGTTTGGAACATGTACGCCGTAAGATAAGTGGTACTACATACCTTCCGCTTCGGGGAATCAAGCACTACAAACATCTTCCGTTTGAGCTTGGCCTTCTTCGCATCAGTTTGAGGGACGGAAGTCTGACAGAATTAAACTAGGTTTCTTGAAAGAGAGAATGTGAACTTACGTCTGTGTCTGCATCGGAGATGTGCTCCTCAACCTGTTTGCCCTTTGGCTTCTTGTTGGACGTCGCAAGACCTATTTCATACGACAACCAGGCACCTCGACGTGAGTAATGTGCATGCATATACAGCTGACGTACCCAGATCTTGGGCGATTGCACGCTCGCCGTCGTCCAACGACGGCATCGGCACCGGCACCGTTTTGCGCCCAGTAGACGGCTTATCCATGCTCGTAGCTGGCAATTGCTAGACATGAATACGACTCAGCTGCTTGAACAACGTACCGAGCGAACGTACCGAGTGAAGTAGCCTGAGGACTCGCTTCGACCATGTCGATGTCAGGGTTCCCCGCATGCTTCTTGCTCTTCCCGTAAGCTGGGGTAGGCTTCGCTGGGGATAGATTACGAGTTAGTGGTACTTACACGCAGATATGATGCACGTACGGCGTGTAGGAGCCTGTCTCTGCTCTGGGGACTCTACGCTGTTCTGCCCCGCCTTCCTCTGGCTACCCTCTTCCCTGCCTTCCGCATCACTCGAGGGCTCGTCACTGACGTCTCTCTCCGTCGACTTCTTCGCCTTCTTGTGCTGCGGCGAAGCTACAGCTACATCGTCCTCCTCTGCATCCTGCTCAGCGTCCGATTCGCCATGAGTATCTGCAAGAACCCTCTTGCGCAGCGCTGGCATCGATGTGTCAGAGCCGCGCAGTATAGAACGCTGGCCAGCAACGGTGAGCGAGCAACTTACTTGTCCGTTGCTCCGTCTCCTCCTCCTCTTCAGCTTGCGATTGCTTCTTGAGCAGGGCTTGCAACTCCTTCTGCTCTTTCGCGGACAGTCCTTTTTTCTTGGTTTTGGTTGAGCCGACCTTGCTGTTCTTGGACCCAGACTGCGGCTTCGATTGGGCTACCTTGCCCTTGCCATCCTTCTTGCCGGCAGCGCCAGCGGAGCGTGTGGTGCGCGTAGGGCGCGGACTCATGGAGAAGCAAGCAGACTAGAGGGTCGAACGGTTGAAAGTATGGCGGAACGACCTGGGATTCAGCAAGAGAGTGCGACGTGTCCGCCGTTCGAGAACGCTTCGGAAGAGCGGAGTTGTGAGACTTCTTCAAAAAATCTGACCGCATGCCAAAGCACCTCATGACGGAACGGATGAATGATGGATAAATCAACATGTGTTCGAAGAGCCTGTTCAGTAGTAGTACAAGAATGTGATCAAGTTCTATCTAAGATGTACGTTAGCTGCCCAGCCGTTCCGATCCTCCCGCTGAGCGGAGGTGATGTGAGTGACGGTATCGTGTCCAACGAAGTTGACAATAATGCCAGTGCTTCGGACGGCGAGTCGGACGGCAAGTCGTGCGGCAAGTTGGACGGCAAGTTGGACGGCGAGTTGAACGGTGAATTTCATCAGAGTTGTGACATCGAGTACATGTACATTGACAGAAAACGATAGCAATGCGGTACGAACAACGGCTAGGACAACGAAGACAAATAGAGTAACAGTACAGCAGACACGTTCCACTCACTTAGCTTTGCGAATTCCGCTGCGCGCGAACGCGAACGTCGCTGCGGGTCATCCGCGATGTAGCTGTCGAGTTCAAGCTCATGCCCCGCAATGACCGGCTATAAGTTCTGTCGCTCGCTACCTCCGGTGGGTCACTGCAGGCAAGGTCGATAGGATCGGAGCTACGCTCCTCCAGCGAGCTGTCGGATGCTAGCAGCGAGGGGCTGAGGGGCGGAGAGGGGTCCGCGAAACGTGTTTTCTTGTACGTCTCGACTGCCGCGATGTCATCAGGCGAAGGCACATCGTTGTCTCGAGACCTCTTGTAGGCCTTCCGGACGCGCTCGGTGTCCTCTCGACTTGGAGTATGGGCCGAGAAAGAAGTGAGGTGGTTCTCGCTTTGCATAGCGTAGTCATCCATCGCTTTTTGATGCGCTCCCATCCCTATGAACTTGACGGCCACGGGAAAGGGGTCCTCAACGATCGGGACGCGTGTCGGAGGCGGTGGAGTTCGTTCGGGCAAGCCCGCAAGGTCCATGTCTAGATCGCACGAATCGGCCTGTGCGCCGATGACACGCGCACATTCGATCATGACCTCTTCCCATTTAGCAAACAGCCCGTCATGCTGGTCTTGCAGGACGTTACTCGTGTCGTACTTGTGACACAAATCCTGCACGACAATCATAGTATTAGTAAGAAGCTCTCGCTGTGACAGATTCAGTGGACGTACCACACCAAAACCCTCCCTGATCCAGTCTGCCGCTGTCCGCTTTAGACGCAGACCCTCTCTCAGCCTGTTCCTCTCCTCCTCCGTCCCTCTGAACATCAGCCATTGGCCACGTATTTGCCCGACGTAAGCGTTCTCGCCCTTCTTCCACCCGGTTGAGAGAACGTCGTTTGCATACCCGCCTCCCGGTATGAAGTCTTGCGGTCCAGGCTTGGCGTTTGGGTCATCGACGTAGGCGCTTTCCTCGATGTTGATGATAACGTACGCGACAGGCATGGGCGAGTTCAACGGTGGCATGGACTTGTAGACCTGTAACCCTTGTCAATCTTGAGTTCGACTGCGAAAGACTCTGAGCTTACCTTATGCAGAACTTTATCGAGGCTCTGCGAGTACGACGTCTGCACGAGAATAAGGTCTTTGTTGGAGTGAATCAGTACCCCATGGCTCTCTGGGTCTAACACAACGAACGAGACTGCTAACAAGCAGTCCGCTTTCTGAGCAGACCATTTGTTGATCACGATCCGCTCGCCGTCAACCTTGAGGTATTGGTGCTCAGATAGAAGAGTTGGCTCTAGGACCTGAATGGCAGAGTGGGAGGTAGACATCGTGGCAATTTGATGGAGGCCCGACGGTCCTCCTACGTTCAACGTCTCCATATCTTCGTCGTAGTAGAACCTATAGACTCAGTTAGATAACGAGAGAGACACCGTGCATCACTCACCAAAGATATCGCAGAAGCTGTTTGTGGTCGACAAGGTACTCTCTTAGAATTGCCCACTGTTCTTGGGTATAGCGACGTTCCTATACCCACATCAGCGCAGTGTTCGAGCAATCAAACCAATGCAACTTACTATTTGCTTGTTATATATTTGGGGAAACTCTGGATCCTCCAACAGATCGCCGAACACCTCGTCTGCGAGGTGCCAGTCTTTGATGGCTAAGGCTAGGGCTTCGACCTCACCGTCCGAGTCCACCGCCCTCGAGGGATAGGAAGAACAGAGCGGTGGCGACGAGTTCGTGCGTCCGATGGAAGCCGTGGAGAATGTGAGGCCGCCAACAGATGTTGTGGGCGAACCGAAAGTCGAACCGTCTGGGACATCAATGTAAGACTTGGCTGGCAGGTGCGGTACTGTCAATACTAACGATCCGTATCTTCCCCGTACGGCTCGACACTGAATGGCACCCCAATCTTCACGGGAACAAAGAGGTCGTTGTCGCTGGTGTCGGATGGATTGCGGGTGTGAACGACCTGGCCAGGGTGCGCGTGCGGGTTGTCCCCGTCAAAGGAGACGCTGCCGGCAGATGTGCGATAACGAGGGGGCATGGGGGAGTGAATTGCGAGGGTGAGTCGTTGGACTCGGACAGCGGAAGCCCTGACAGAAGGCTACTGTTATGTAACAATGAGCCCGATGAATGTGTGAGATGCTTACCCCTTCATCTCCCAAGAGCGCCACATGGGGCTGATACGTTCTGCGGCCCGAATTCCCAAGTGCGCCGGTTCTTCACCTTCGTAAAGATGAGCACGCGGCGAGCCGTGTATCTCCCAGTCGCGGAGGGCCAACCTTCTGCAGCTGCTCGTACGTGCCCACACCCCGCTCTGCTACTCTGGCTGGGCCGTTTACCGCGCCCAGCTACTTACTTAGCCGTTGCCTCGCGGCCGTTACTGTTTCCATATCGGGATGAAACACCGCGAGGGCGAACCTGAATGCGAGGGACGGGACGGCCCCAGCCCTACAGGCGTGCTAGCTCGTAAGCTGAGACAGCGAACAGTAGGTACTTACCTTGTGCCAATGTTCATAGTGGAGTCGCTAATATGCTCTTAGCCAGGTACCTGTAGAGCGCTTGATGGGAGGGCGACATGCGCACCGTACTCAATCGCACTTATTTGTCAATAGTACCAGGAGAGGCCTGCAGCACGTCACAATGAGATGTAGTTTGACTGAAGAAAAACTTAATATTTACTGGCGGGGCGACGAAGCGGAGGATCACGAAGAGAGCATGAAGTCGACAGTTCAACCGCTTGAATTCAAGAGTGGTCAGAGCTGTCAAAACCCAAAACGTAAAGACGTCAAGACTTTGCCGAGACGCCGTTCAGCACATGAACTGCCCTACCAGCGTTCTGCTTTACCTTCCAACTGACGAGCAGGAATATCTTAACCCAGCTGTATAACTGTTAGGTGAGCCGTGGTTCAAAAAATCAAGTTTTGCGATTGAACTCACCCTCTTGAGAAGCATGGGGAAAAGAAGAAGATCTTTGCAGGACTTGATCGCGCAGACGTGTGAGGCATGCAACGGCGGCTTCGACTCGATGCAAGGCCTAATGGCCCATCAGTCAATGTCCAAGCAGTGCGCCTGGTACAAGAAAGGCAAACTCAAAGCTATCTACGTTGACGACTCGTCTGACGAGTCCTCCTCCTCATCAAACGAAGACCTGGACGACGCGTATACCTGCTCTGGAACTGGTGGCGATGACGAGTCTCATCCCTGGAATCGCGGAACGTGAGTCTCACGTATGATTACAGTTCATGCGTACGTATTGACTAGAGCCTGCAAAAAACAGGGTCAATCCAGAGGCCGGAACGAGTGCATTAAGCCAGGACGGAGAGGGTTCAGGACAGGGTCCTGGACCCAGAGAGGACGTCTTGCTTCCAGATGTTGACCCAGGCGAAGACGACGAATTCGAAGTCTTGATGTTCGCTCCGGAAACTGCTCACCGAAACGCACCGACTCAGTCCGCATCCGCAGGGGAATCTTCTTCGCCGTCACACGCACGTCGTACGGCTCTGGCACTGGACGACGATGAGGATACGCGTGTGGAGGAGGTGAATGAGGCGGCGGGTGTGGTATTAAGGGAAGGAGAGACGGTCCGAGAGGAGTGGAGGCGTTACTTTGAGGAACAGAAAGAGAAAAATGGGAAGCAACATAAAGGTGAGTTGTTAACGGATGATGTGCGTATGACAATTAATTAATCCTGTCAGAATGCGGCTCTCCGTCGAGCTCGCTATGGGATCCGTTCGACTCGGAATTGGATTGGCAGTTAGCCTCTTGGCTCATCAAGGAAGGCATCGGACAAGGGGCAATCGACCGGCTCCTCAAGATACCCAAGGTGAGCGTCTCATGCCTGTGGGGCTCGTAAGAGTTTAATCAACAAAAACCAGTTTAGAGAGAAGCTAGAGCTCTCGTACCACAACTCACGCGCGCTCCTGCAAAAGGTGGACTCTATCCCGGACAGGGCGACCTGGAAAGAGCGTTGGCTCTCTTTCAAGGATCGCCCTGGGGAGAGACACCTCGTGCAATTCCGAGACATCATCGAGGCCATCAAGGCCCTGCTTGGTAACCCAGCGCACGCATCCCAGATCGTGTACCGTCCTAGCTGGATTTTCTCCGACAAATCGCGCAAAAACCGCATCTACACGGAGATGTGGTCTGGCAAGTGGTGGCATGCTGTACAGGTACGTTCTTGTGTTCTGTTCATTCCTGAAGCTATTACTGACAAAAAAACAATGACAGAGTCTCCTACCAGCAGGTGCTGCCCTCGCTCCGGTCATCATTTCGACCGACAAGACGCAGCTGACGCAATTCTCGGGCAACAAGTCGGCATACCCGGTCTATATGACCTTGGGTAACATCCCCAAGTCACTGCGCCGCAAGCCCTCGGAGCACGCGTGTATCCTGATCGGGTACCTCTCTGTGGACAAGGTGGACTCGAACGGCCTCAGCGAGCAGAAGAAGAGGGCGCTAGTCCAGCAGCTCTTCCACGCATCGGTCAAGGTTATTCTCGAGCCATTAATCGAGGCCGGGAAGACGGGCATTGACGTTACGGGAGGCGACGGGAAGGTTCGACGCGTGCATCCGGTACTCGCATCCTACGTTGCCGATTACCCCGAACAGTGCTTGGTGACTTGCGCCAAGTACGGTACGTGCTGTATATGTCAGTGTCCTGACACTGAGCTCGGGGATGCTGCTGCCAAGACACCCCGTCGACAGATCTGGACACTCGATGTTCTTCGCAAAGCCAAGCTGAAGGGCAAGAAAGGCTCGAACGCGTTCTTGAACGCGTGCAAAGAGCTCAACGTTTCGGGCTACACCATCGAGCCCTTCTGGAAGAACCTCCCCTTCACCGACATCCACATGTGCGTCACGCCGGATGTGCTGCACCAATTATATCAAGGCGTCTTTAAACACGTCGTTGAGTGGTGTGGACAGCTCATGGACGAGAAGGAGCTCGATCAGCGTATTCGCTGTCTCCCTCCCGCCTATGGAACCCGACGCTTCAAGAATGGAATTTCCGCCCTCTCCCAGGTCTCTGGGAGCGAGCGGAAGGATATGGCGAGGATCCTACTCGGCTGCTTGGTTGGTCGTGTTCCCAATGCCGTCCTGCTTACCTTCCGCGCCCTCTTAGACTTTATCTACATCGCACAATACCCCACTCACGACGAAACGACTCTTACCTATATGGAAGATGCACTCAAGACTTACCACAAGCACAAGGACGTACTCAAGTCCCTGGGCGTGCGGGATCATCTCAACATCCCAAAGTTCCATTCACTCTTACACTACATCGACTCGATTCGCAATTTGGGCACCACTGATAATTATAACACCGAGATGTTCGAACGCTTACATATTGATTGTGCGAAGAAGGCCTGGAGGGCCTCTAACCACCGCGACGCCCGGCCGCAGATGGTGAAGTGGCTTTCTCGTCAGGAGAAAGTCGCCATGTTCGACACACTCCTCCAGAGGCTCCACGAGGATAACGCCAGTGCCGACGACACTCGCGGAGCTGGATGCAAAACGGGTCTCATGATTCCGAAGCACCCCTCTGTTGCCAAACAGTCCGTTCAGTCGATTTCCGAAAAGCACCAGGCTCCCGGGTTCCCGAAGGCCCTCAATCAATTCGTCTACAAGCTCAAGCTCAACCGTCCGCTTTCCAGTCGAGAGCTCGAAGCAGCCAGTTCGCACATCCCCTTTTCACGCGTTGATGTCTTTCACAGCTTTAAGTTCACCACCATTCCTCTCTCTGACAACAACCCTGAACGCGACTCCGTCAAGGCAACACCTGCTTCCTCGATGCAACCCGCTAGGTTCAACACCGTAGTCGTTTTGCAAGACGGAGATGCTGAGGCTACCGGCCTCCAAGGTATGTTACGCAGCTAGTATTTCTTACGCATTTGTATCTGAACTACATTAAACGCGCACTCAGGTACACGTATAGGGAGGGTGAAGGCCATATTCAAGCTTCCGAAGTCCATCGAAGATCGTCGGACTGGCCTACCACTACCCGCACCGCATGAATGGGCTCAGCAGGGACCTCTGGCGTACATCGAGTGGTACGCCAAGCTTCCCTCGAGTGCTGACCCCATTCATATGATGTACGACGTTCGCAAGTTACCACTAAGAACGGATGGTACACCAGCAGGGGAGGTCGTTCCTTTGCAGCTCATACGTCAGTCATGTCAGTTGATACCCCACTTCCCTAAACCCACTACGATTGAGTCCGCCATACATACACTTCCAGAGGATTGGAGCTCAGATACTGTACTCGACAAGGCTACGAGATTCGTACTGAATAACTGGGCAACGAAGTATGCATATCAGACTCTATGGTAGCTACAACACGTACATGACATTACTATGGTTTATGCAAATATATAAAAGATCGCGCACTAGTATCTATAAGAAACCGAGTGACGATGCACAATATACTTACGACTTGCTACTGTTCATGTATGTGTAGCTAAATCCCGGCGATCGGCCCAGACGCCCGTGCCGCACGAAGCCCCGTCAAGAGTACTTGCTTTGCTCCTCTGTACCCAACGGCGTACCAGCGCCGCCCAAGACACTCCTCCACCACTACTCTCTTGACCGCCGCCGCCTTGCAGCCACCAGCACCGTCATGGCCCACTCGCGTGGGCGGTCCTCAAGACACGCCGGGCTGTGCGATGCTGCCGCGCGCCCGGGAGTCGCCCTGCTGCCTGGAGCTCAACCATTAGCGTATTCGCAAGCCGCTTGAAGAGGAGCAACCTCGCAACTGCCTGCAGCGCAACAGCGAGGGAGCCGCGTCAACGCGCGCACCAAGGCCCGAGGGGCCTCACTAGGCCCGCCGTCAAACAGCGTATTGCGCACTCGCAAGACCACCTCACAAGACACATTGACAGGCACGTCGCGAGGATGCTCTGCCTGCTGCAAGGACCAGAAGCAGAGAAGGAACATGCCCACGCAGAAGGCCCCGACAGAGAGCGACGGAGAGTCGAAGGGACTCCAGTGAGCACCACAGTCCCTCAATGTCTATCCTCCTCTCCTCCATGCCCGCGTTCCATACCTCCTTCCTCGTTCGACCAGCCTACGCCCCCGAGCTCCACTCGCCTCCGCACAGCCGGCTCCGTCAGTCCAGCAATCCTGGCGTTCCTCAGGCTAGCTCGCGCATGCACTCAGGAAGCCGATGCGCAAGTCCTCGCCACATGCCTGCTCAACCGACCGCCGTCAAGGGCATGCAGGTGCTGGTCGTGCTGAAGTGCTTCATGCCATGGGAAGATCTCGCTGAGTTCCTCACAGCCATCCCACGCCGTGTCATGTACCGTACGATAGCGCGATTCTGCAAGCTGCTGCAGCGCAGGCCACATCGAGACATATGGGATCAACATGGACGACTCGCGTACCATACCGCTCGTTCCAGAACTTCTTCATCCGGCAGCACAAGCAGGGGTCGAGGCTGATCGCGGCGGAGGGCGACGACACCGCGGCGGAGGGCAACGACACCGCAGCGGAGGGCAACGACACCGTGGCAGCGGACACGAGGGTGGTGGGCTTCGAGTCCGTATCGGAGACGACGAGGCTGTGGATCAAGGGGAAAGACTTCACCATCGGCAACCTCATCACTGACAATGTCGCGGCGCGGATATGGGACGACGGTGCTGTTGTGAGCTATCGGCTCAGCCCCCAAGGTCAGTTCCCGGTACTTGACAATCGAGCCACGACTGAACGTTGCCGCAGAATACCACCGCTACCATTGTGCCGTTAGTGGCACCGTCCGGTGGTGAAAGTAGATTGACAGTGACTACTACAGCGTCGACCCCGTCGCCCTGAGGAGTGCCTTCAATGTGCTCCGCCCGAACGCGCGCTGCACCGCCGGGTGCGTCGACTCACCGAGTTCGGTGCCGTCCTCTTCGTCGCGACCGGCGCCCAGGAGGTCGGTACGGTCAAGTTTGACGAGTCGATCTATATAGTTCTTGCTTACAGTCTCATTCACCTCACGAAATGCAATACAATATATTTGTTGGACACCTTCAATGTGCTCTGCCCGAACGCGCGCTGCACCGCCGGGTGCGTCGACTCACCCGAGTTCGGCGCCGTCCTCTTCGGCGCCCAGGAGGTCGGTACGGTCAAGTTTGACGAGTCGATTTATACAGTTCTTGCTTTCAGTCTCATTCACCTCACGAAATGCAATACAATATATTTGTTGGAGTGTTGATTTTCGGTGTCTTGACTCCAGACAGTGAGAATGTTTTGGGTTGCTTTAAAAGCAACCATACATACGTAATTGTCATGTGTGCTTGGATTCCCAAACAACATTAGTGTGAGACCTATCAGCGGAGAATATTGCCATTCAGAAAAGGCATACAAAATGAACGACGTGCTCTCAGGCACTGCAAGGCCCACAAGACATGTCAAGGACCTATACTGCTTGGCCAGCAATGGCTATTTCCATACAAGACACTCCAAGACAAAACAGTTTTTCCTGATGTGAACCACCATCTTGTATCCTCCGGCGGCAGGCATGTGCATCGTGTCCATGTACACCTTGTGGAATAGTCCCTGCGGAGTCGCCACCGTCGGAGGGATCTTCAGCCGTTGCGTGCTCCTAAGTTGGCACGCATGGCAAGTGCTCACGTACCACCGTACGTCCTGGTCCAGGAACGGCCACCAGAAACGCTCCAGCAGCCTCGTCCGCACCGTAAGTACTCCCTTATGTCCGAGGTCGTCGTGCGCCTGCCTCAATAGCTCTAACCTTCGCTCCCTCCGAATCACTCGCTTATGCTTTCCGTCTGGGTCCCGTCGCCAGAGTCTCCCTCCGCGTAAGAAGAACCGTCCTGCCTTTCGCACGAATTTCCTGAACGCCGCCTCGTCCACCATTTCCTCCGGTCTCTCGGCGGTCCTCAGGAACTCCTCAATGCGTACCAGATCTTCTTCCGCCGCATCCGCCTTGTCATGCCGCGGAATCTCCACTTCTTCCGCGTCTAGGCCTGCGACCCCAATCACTAAGCAGAGGATCCGCGCCTCCTCCCGTGCTCGGAGCCCCTTCCGCCGGTAGCTCGGCTCGCTAGAGTTCCAGGTTTCAATCGTAAACGCGCATGCTTCGTCGATCCACTCCTCGGGATCTCCCTCCTCCTCCGGGTCTTCTTCCGCTCGTTCCCTCCGCGACAGCCCGTCCGCCCCGGAATGAAGCACTCCGGGAATATGCACCAGCTTGAAGTCGAAGAGTAGGATCGCCGCTATCCACCGGTTCATCGCCGCATTCGGCTGAATGTCCGGGTTGTTGAGCATGCCCTTGATGTACTTCGCATCTACCTCGACTTCCAGCCTCCGCACGCCGATAATGTGTATCCTCGACGCTCGCAGCGCCCGGAAGAGCCCATATAGTTCTACCTTTGCTTGTGAGTAGCGCGACTCCCGTTCATTCCACGTTATTGACCCAAACCTGCTCGGGCACTTCCTCCCCTTCACGTCCCGCTGCAGTAGGACAAACCCGACGCCGATGACCGAAGAGTCCACGGCCAGAATCACTACTCGGTCGGTAGTATAGTCGATCGGAAGGAGCGCAGGGCAGTTCACAAGTGCTTCTTTCAGTGTTTCCATCGCCAGCTCTTCTTCCGCCCCCATCCGAAGTCAACCTCCCTCCGCGTCAACCTAGTGAGTGGTCTCGCGATCTTTGAGAAGTCCTTGATGAAGATCCGAACCAGCCCCATCGTCCCAAGGAAGGCCCGCACGTCCGTCACCGTCTTGCACGCTGGCCAGTCCCGGATCTTCTGCACCCTAGCGTCGTCAGGCTCCCTTCCGCTGTATGTGCACTTATGTCCCAGGACTACCACGTCCGGTACGCACAGATGTGCCTTCTTCCCGAGAACGTCCCTCCGACGGCACCCATCCTTTGGAGGATGCGGTTCATGTTCTCCAGGTGTTCCCACACGAATCGCCTTATGCCTGGATTCCCTCCGATGGTCTCGTACCCTCCGCCGGGAAGCTCGTACCTAGTTTTCGGCCCTTTTGCGTTCACGTCATCAGCGAATGGTATCGTGACGTCTGGAATCTCGTCTTGCATGATGAACGTTACGTCCCCGTGTACGATCTGCATCGCGTTCGTATATCCCATCGGTACTGCCGTCAATCGCAGGGCCCCAGTGGTGACTGGAACGTTGTGAGGTCCCTCGACCGGATCGCCAGCCCCCGCTGATCGAATGCTACGAACAAATCCAGGGCCCCGTAACATGCCCTTCCGCCGAACGATTCCGCCAGCTGCTCGATGAACGGAGGGACCGCCGCATCCTTGATCGTAACAGCGTTTAGTGGCTGCAGGTCGTGTACCAGTCGGAGAGACTTTCCATCCTTCTTGACCACGCAGAACCATCGCGAGCGATACGACGAGCTTGATGGCTCGTACACTCCGGACGCGATTTTGTCCTTGATGATGCGGACGACCTCGTCGTAAATACCGGGAGGAATCGGGATGTTCTTCAGTACCCACGGAATGTGCTCGACCGTTGGGATTACCACAGGATCGAAATACTCTTCCCTCAGCCGCCCCTTCTCCGTCTCGTCCCACGCAAAGACTTTGTCGTGCATCCCTACGAGCCAGTCCACCAGCTTCGCCTCCTCCGGCCATAGGAATCCGCTTCGTCCTACGTCTAGTGCGTCCCTCCGTTCCTGCGTGTACCTTCCGCGCGGAATGAACTCCGGCGCGACGATCGGCATAACGGGCATGCCCGCTAGCGGATCGGTCGGCGCCCTTCGCACCACCCTAAACTCCTCGGGGAGCGTTGCGGCCACTGGTCGTACCTTCCGAGCCACCTTCTTGTAGGCCAGCACCTCGATTCCCATCCCCGTTTCTACTTTGAACACCTCCTCCTCCTCCCATCCGTCTTCCTCCTCCGCCCCATCTCCAGACTCATACTCTCCTTCCGTTGCGTTGCGATCTCCCTCCGCCCGCTCGAAATCCTCCCCGCCGATTCGTAGTCTTCTTCCGCCGGCTCGTAGTCCTCCTCCGCTGAACCATATCCTCCTTCCGCAGACTCGAGTCCCTCATCCGCCGATTCGTAGTCTTCTTCCGCCGACTCGTAGTCCTCCTCCGCTGACTCATCATATCGTTCTCCATCCCCACGCGCTCCTCCCGCCGGCTTGTCTCGACATCCTTCAGTCTCGTCGATAGTCTCTCTGCCTCCCACATCCCCATACTGAGCAACGGTCTCGTGTATTGTGTCGCTAAATTCCAAGGATTCGTTACAACTCGGGAAGTGGGTATCTGCAGAGTCCATCGACGATCCATAGTCGCTAAGCCTGTCGGTAGGCGCTCCCGTTCCTTCCGCACCCTCTCCGTCCCAGACATATACTGAATAGTGGCCCATAAGATCGTCTCCGCTCGCATTGCTTGCATCATCGACTTCTAAAAATCCTCCGCGGGAGGATCTTCGGCCGGGCGTCCCTCACTCTTCTTCTTCGACCCCGCGCGGCGCTCGAAGGACGGTACCATCACGCGGCGGTTGCTCTGCGGATCGGTAAGGACGACCGTCTGGCTTCCGTCCTTGAAGTCCCGGGTCTCGCAACAGCTCGCGGCGAAGAAGGGCCGGCCCAGGAGCACCTCGAAAGGAGCGTCCCTTACCACCTGGACATTCATGACGATCTTTACCTCGTCATCGAACACGAACTCCATCCCGATGGCCTTCCCTATCGTCCGAGTGGTCGTCTTGTTCGCGCTTTCCATTACGCATCCTTCGTCGGGGCGAAGACTCCCTCCGACGCGCTCCCAGATATCCTTCCGCATCAGGACCATCTGTGCCCCTGAGTCCAGGATGCACGCCGCCCTTCCACGCCATTGATCAGCGGCCGCAGCTCCCGCAGCGTCAAGGAGTCCCAGTACCCGCTGTCGAATACGTTCCCTCCGCTAGACAGCTCGGTGGTCCCCACGTTCCACACCGCTTCCTCCGCCATGCCGGCGACCTGCACACGTTGCGTCTTGATCTGCTCGTCAACTACCTTCCGAAACTCCTGGCTGATCTCGAGAATCTCGCCCCAGCTCGCCTTCTGATCGCTCTCGTACATCATCCGCCGCGCCAGATCTTCCGCCTTCGCTCGAGGGTCCTTTCCCTCGTTGATCTTCGCCTGGAACCGATACTGTGGTTCGGCCGTCCGCCCTTTACCCTGATCCTTCGCCACCGGGCCTCCTCCGCTCGTTCCGGCTGATACCCCCTTCGCTGGGATGCCCGGCGGCTTGCCAACCGCCCCGCGCACAGTTCCTCCGCTGGGCTTGCTTCCACGCGCATCCTCTTCCGCTGGAGGATCCCTAAAGATACCTTCTTCCCTCCTCCGCGCACTCGAGCCGCCTCCGCCGCTAAGACACGTGCACGTTCCTCTAAGTCCTCGGCGCGCCTGAGTGAGTCCTCTTCCTCGGTCGTCTCCTCGACCGTATATCCTTCGACGATCTCTACAATGTTCGCTCCTAGATGCGGCGGCCCATCCCGATCTGCCCGTCGTTCCCTCCGACGTTCCCTTGCTGCTGCGGCTGCCCTCCATTCCCTCCGCCGCCCAAGTTAGCCATCCTCGCCTCGATAGCGTCGATCAGGAATCCGCCTCCATACCGCGACACAAAACCCCCATCAGGGAAGCGTATCTTCTGTTCGTCGTCGAGTCTGATCTTCCCCGCACGGAGGTATTCCCCGACTTTCCTACACTCGCGCAGGAAGTGTCCCACCTCGCCGCAGAAGTTGCATGTCCTGGTGCCGAACCCTCCGCCTCCGCTGTACCCTCCGCCTCCGCCGCCATACCCTCCGCGCCCAGGTCCTTGAGGCTGATATCCGAAGACCGGTCCTCCTCGACCTGTTCCTCCGCCGTACCCCCCGCTATTGTAGTTCGCGCTCGTGTAGGTTCCTCCGCCATAGTTCCCCGCGCCGTACCCTCCTCCGCTATAGTTTCCGGCAGCGTACCCTCCTCCGCGGCCTCCTCCGCTCCCATGCGTCTGCTGGAGTGCCCCTAGCGCCGCCACGAAGGCTCGGCTCAGGGCTTCCTCCGTCATCGGTTCCTGCTTAACGCCGATGACCCCCCTCCTCCGCCGGCTCCCGCACCGGTACCCCCACCTTGGGTGTTGCCTCCGCCGCCGTAACTGACCGCGCTGAGACACTGCTGCGCTGCCCCATGCAGCTGCTCAAGGCTGTACCCCTTCGCGGGGTCGACCGTAGAGTTGACAATCTCGACCCTCCGACGGATCGCATCCGCCGACTTCGCGTCGAATCCGGAGAGGTACTTCTGGTGCACCTGTGACTTCGACACCAGCCCTTCCGTCATCAGGTAGCGCGCCACCGGAAGGAACTTCCGATAGAACTCTGCCTCCCCGCTGCGCGTATCCGTCCCGGCACTCAGCCCGGCCGCCGCAATTGCGTCCAGATCGGTTTCTAGATACTTGGATGCTCCGTCCGACCCAGGATACAGCTTCACGATCCCTTCCTTGTACTGCTCGAACGTCGGGTTGTCGGGGACGGTTACAGTGCCCCACAACTCATGCTGATCAGGGTTCAGGTACCTTTGAGCGTACCGAATCTTCTCCTCGTCGACAGTGATGTTCGCGAGCCCTAGAAGATCGGAGACGTCCTCGAAGTAACGCGCGAGCGACCGGGGCTGATCATCGAATTTCGGAGCAATGCGATCCCCGCGGACGGGCATACTGCGTGGCTGGATAGCGGCCATTTTAATTTCTGGTTGGGCGGAAGGAGTGCGGAGGAAAGGGGAACGAGCTCGAGACTCGTCGGAGGGAGTAACAGATGAGACGGAGGAAATTGTCTCCGATATGTCGGAGGGAATGGCGAGAGACGGGATTAAAGGGCCTACGAGCAGGGGTATGGTTTCGTCGACAGGCGACGACGGCAGTGATGCGTATATTGAGACGGGCGATTCTGGAAGTGGAACGTTGATGGGATATGGTGAGGGAGGAAGCGGAACTGAGGCCGGCACCAATACGGGGCTGCCCACTGACTTGGTCGAGGAGGATAGCGCGGACGGGGTAGAGTATGCTCGCCGCCGAGGTACGTTTGCTAAGGGGATCGACTCGCTCGACGCTGAGCTTCGAGTTGGTGATGATGCAGGTGCGGAGGTGAGAGTGCTGTCAGCCGGATCGAGGAACGGGTTCTCTCCGTCACTGTCGTCAGCGCGCGGAAGGGGAATGCCGTCTAGTGCGGGTACCCTGAGCGATGGGTCGTACGGCGAGTCCGGGGAGTGATGTGCGATAGCGAGCTCCTCGAGTAGACTTCTCGTAGGGGTGCGAGGCTCTGAACGATTAGGGACGGTAGCGAGAGTTTTCGCTCGGGACCGTGTGATAGGCAGGATGACGTGGCACCCGGGGTTGGGTCAACAAGATTTTACCAACGAAATCCCCCTCGCGGTGGGCTCCAGTTGTGGTGATGGCGAGTCCCCGGTGCGTGGACGACGCGGAAGGGAATTCTTGGTATCGGTGAAAACGATGGGCGGGGGTCGTTGGTACAAGTTGACGGTTGGCGGAGGAAGCGAGCGAGGTCTGTGGTACCTCGCGGAAGGGAAAGGGGAGATGGGGTGGTGCGCCGCACGCTTCGTTCGCGATGTCTTTAGTGAAGACTGCCTTTCCTGAGCCTGGTATACTCGATAGCCTTCCCTCCGACGTTCCTAACCTGAGCTCTCCTCGATCCTGAGCCTGAGCCTAACTTCTGCGACCTTCCTTAGCCTGAACGCGAGCCTGAGACGAGACCTGAAGCCTGAGATTGCCCGGTGCAACCTAGATACTGAGTCCTCAGAGGTGTGGTAGGTAACTAACTCCCTTTTCCTCCGTCTCCCCCTCTAAGTCTCCCTCCGCCGCTGTTTCCCACGTCCCACCCTCGCTGGCATCCGTTTCTCTCCTTTCCCGTTCCTTCCGCACCCGCCTCGTCTCCTTCCGACACCTCCCCGTACCCTCCTCCAGCTTCTTCCGCTTCCTCCGCCAGGCCCTCAGTGCTCCCCACCGTCTCCGATGCCCGTCGATGCTCCCCCAAACCCGTCCACCATCGTCTTCACCACCCGGTTCTACCGCCTCATCGATCTTCTCCGCGACGAGCGTGTAGTAGAGCCTCGCCTGAACCCCGATAGTGACCGCGAATGGCTTGCCTGGGCCCATGGAGCTCGATGGTTAATCGTGCGTCCTTTTTCCTCCGTCCTGATTCCCGATCGTCCTTCTAAGCGGCCGTTCTCCCCGCGCAGCGAATGCTCTTCGACTCTCGTTCCCGTGCAGTGGCCCACGGCGATGCTTCCCTTCCGCTCGTCCGCCGCTACCCTGACGTGCAGGAGCTGATCGAGTATCTCGACCAGGTCTTCCTCACTCTTCCGTCGCAGCATAGCTATGTCGGCGAGCCTTTCCCTCTGATTGCCTGGGCCCCGAACCGAGTCACCGCCGAGCAAGCCGACGCAGAGATTGGCCGTCCCCTCCTTCCGGTTCGCTACTTAGAGCGTCCCTTACAGCTCTCGTCCTATCGTGCTTCTTCCGACAGCCTCGACGGCCTCCTTAGTCGGTTTCAGGGCCTCCTTGATGAGTGCCGCACCGCTAACCGTGACGCTCGTTCCGAGGCTGTCCATATCGCCCGAGGCCTAAATTCTGTTGAGGCCAGCGTCCGCGACTTACACGTTCGCTTATCGGAGGGAGTGTACGTTCCCGACGGCTACTCCGGGATACCGCGTCGCCTGTGGTTCGCGCACCCTCAGGACTTCGAGGCGATGGAGGAGGGAGAGGTCGAGGATGAGGTGCCGGAGGGACCTGGTGTTCATGTACAGTAGCTGTCTTCAATCCGCAGTTTTACTTGGTCGTCCTTCGCCGAGGCGTTTTTCCTCCAATCGACGTTGCTTCGTTCCGCGTTGTCCTACACCTGAGAGTGCGTCGTTCCGAGCTCGTACTGGTGCTCCCATGTGGGCCCACCCCACAGCGGAGACATCAGATCTGACCAGAGAAACAAGTGGAATGCGCTGAACATCGCTATGCGAGAGGAGAAGATAGGCATAATCGCCTTACAAGAAACACACCTCGACGACGGATGGGTAGAACAACTACACCGTCTGTATGGTCGAAGAATGAAAATCATAAACTCCGCAGCCACACGCGCAACGGCGGCTCAAGGAGTAGCTTTCGTGCTGAACAGAGAACTAACCGACATTGGAAACGTATCTACTTACGTCCTAATACCCGGAAGAGCGATGATCATACGAACTAAATGGCACCTCGACAAATACATGACAATCCTGAACGTGTACGCACCGAATGATCAAAACGAAAACGCAGCTTTCTGGAGAGACATAGCCACCCACTTTGAAACCTCGAACACACCACGCCCCGACATAATCCTGGGAGACTTCAACGTGGTCGAGGAAGCTATAGACAGGATCCCGATGAGAGAAGATCAGGGACCGGCTGTCCTCGCACTCAGAGACCTGACAAGATACTTAAACGTAGAAGATGGATGGCGCATCACAATGCCCACCGAGAAACAATTCTCGTTCCCACAACGGGGCGCTGCCTCACAATCACGACTCGACAGAATATACGCAACTCCCGCACTCGTCCAATCATCAGTAAACTGGTCAATAAAGACAACCGGAATACCGACCGACCACAAGCTAGTGTCTGCCCAACTGAGCTCAGACAACGCGCCCTTCATAGGAAGAGGTAGATGGACGATGCCGCTCAACATCATCCAGGATCAAGAGTTCATTAAAGACATAGTAAAAATGGGGATCAGGATGAACCACGGTGACCCTCCCCTCCCAGATGACCACCGCCCCCTACCGGCAAACGCTCAATCCCTCCTGAAACGTTTCAAAGAGGACGTGGTAAGTGCAGCTCGCGCCCGCCTCAAGAAAAAGGTACCGAAGATGACCGCAGCAATACGCTCGACTGAGGAGAAGATCCGCGATCTCCTTCAATCCGCCGACCCCGATGCCGACGCTGGACTCCAAACAGAGTTAAGCTCCCTCCAGGACAAACTATCCAACCTCCAGAGGAAAAGATACGCATGCACGAAAGAGGCATCTTCGGCCAGATACGCTCTCAATGCGGAGCGCCCAAGTAAGTACTGGTCCAACATCAACAAGGAACGTAAACCCAGAGATGTGATGTACTCTCTGAAAGTCCCTGAATCGAACCCCCCGCGCTACGAGAAACGATCTGACCGCATGGCGACCATCGCGAGGAACTATCACGAAGCCCTACAATCGCAAAGCTCCTCAGAGGACCCGACCGATACTGAAGCAGCAAGGAATGAAGCCCTAAGAGCTCTGACAACGAAGCTCACCAATGACCAGAAGCAGGCAGGCCATATAGGCATATCTTTGTATGAAATCCCTGTGGTTAGCACAAAGGTATCATACATAAACAGCTGTACTTACCAAGGCCTGTTCTCATACATGAGCTGCCGCTCGCTCATGTATGAGCGAGGCGCCGTCGGTCGTTACCTGTTATAGCAGTCGCGCCGGGGCAGCCCGGTGCCTTCGTCCACGGCGGGGCGGTACCACTGGCGCGCGATGCTCGGCTGCCCCATATGGACGTACATCGGGGTCAGCGCATCTGAGATCAGGTACGATCTCAGTCCCCTGCGCCGCCGCCCAGCCCGCTGCTTGGCGTCAGTTTCGGCTAAGCCCGGAAGCCCGCAACGAGCCGAGCGAGCGGCGAGCGCAGGGCGAGCGGTTCCGCCTGCTGTTTGCGACCTCCACCACCCCACGCCGGTGACCGACATCGTTACACCGCGTACAACGAGTTACGATAGCGAGCATGCAGGGCCAACGCCCCGCATGCAGATGCAGCCGACAAATGGACAGCTGGTGTGTCAGCGAAGAGCCAGCATCAAGGTGAGTGCAATCACATACGAGCGAGCGAGCTGACCGTGTCCACAGGACGCGGCGACGCGCAGCAAACGCGCGTCGACCGCGATTGCGCAGGGCCAATGCCCCGCGTGCAAACGCAGCCAACGGGCGGACCACGGGCACGGGCTAGAACGGGCGCGTGAGAAGGCAGGCGGGAAGGTGGACATAGACAGGCGAGAACGGGCGCGAGAGCAGGCAGGCAGGTACGTGGACGTAGATGAGCAGGCAGGTACGTGGACGTAGATGAGCAGGCAGGCAGGTGGTCGGGTGGGCGGGTGGACGGGCAGGTGGACGAGTAGGTAAGCGGACGGGTAGGAGAGCAGACAGGCGGGCACGCTGGTAGGCGACAGCGCATGCCACTCACTGCGAGTGCGCTGGGCGCAGGCTGGCAAACGGACATGTAGGCGGGCGGGCAGGTATACGAGCAGCTACACGAGCGGGAGGGCGGATGGACGAGCAGGCCGGCGGACAAGCGGGTGCCAAGCGACTGAACGAGCGAGCGGATGGACGGGCGGACGAGCGGGCAAGTAGGCGAGTGATAAAACAGGTGAGCGGGACGGCAGGCGGACGAGCAGGTCAGTAGGAGAGTGGGTGGATTGGCGAGCGAGAGGGCAAGTGGGTAAGAGAGTGCGAGGGCGAGAGGACAGGCGAGTACAGAGCGCGGACCAGCAGCTCACGCACGGCGATCGCGAGCGTGCAGGGGCGAATTCCCAGCACGCAAGCACAGCCAACGAACACAAGGTGGGCGCGTGAGCGAAAAGTGGGTGACCGCGACGGTGGGCAGGGCCGGGGCGCACGCAGCACATATACTAGATCAGTCTGGGATTTGCTTTGTTTAATTCGCAAACATCGCGTGTGCGTGCAATGTTCAACGTACAACGAACTGTAATGGCAGAATATAATATATATGTACAATGAATGTGTACTCATCCGAGTCATCGAGTCCAGTATGTATCGCGCCGCAACACCCACTACGACTCGAGACTCGGCTGAGAACCAGTACAGTACACTATTGCACACGAGAATATTGTACCACATCTCATCTGCTGTGGTATATGCCACTAAACATGTAATCAATCCCTATTCTAGCATACAATACATGCACACACGGTGCGGAAACGTCCCAATCACGAATCACAGGTATGTTGCAGGCCTAAGTAGGACCGTTAAACGCGTGCTGATTGGTCGAGAACAACCCGAGCACATCGGGGTTGCCAAACTTGGCGAGACAACAAACAGACACAAACGTTGAGTTTACGGGCGCCCGCAAGGCTACTGTAACTCTACTATCTCGCTTTCATGTTCGTCTCTGCACGGAAGACAACGGTGGAGACTCTGAGACACATCCAGGAATGAATGCATCTAGGTAAGCTCATTTGGCCCGATTGTTTATGCATGCACCAATGCACTATCCATCCTAGACCGACCCTCTCGTCAACAAGTATGTCGGACGGCGCAGCGACGAACGTGTCGAATGGCGCGTTAACCAGTAGGAACAGTGCGTCAGCAGGTACGAAGGGATGCGCTCACTCGGGCAGAACCCGAAGGAGGCGGAGCTGCAAGACATGATCAACGAGGTCGATGTGGGCGCGAACGCCGAACGGCACGATCAACCCCGAGTTCCTCACAATGAAGGAGCGCAAGATGCGTGACACGGACAGCGAGGAGGAGATCAGGGGGGTGCTCAAGGTCTTCGACAAGGACGGCGGTGGCTACGTCTCTGCTGCGGGGCTCGGGCGCATTATGACTCACCGCGGTGAGTGCCCTCGTCTGCGTGGACAGGTGGCGGTGCTGATTGTGCGGGTGGTGCGCAGGCGAGTAACTGTCGGGCAACGAGGTCGACGAGATGATCCACGACGTGGATGTCGATGGGGACGGTCAAAGTGCGTCTTTGCCGTTCGATGCCCATTGCTTCTCTAACATCCATGCCATCCTCCTGGTACCCACAGAGGTCGTGTAAGTACACTCGCCACTCATCATCCGCATTGCTACCATGCTGATCTGTCCAAGCAGATCGTTACCCACTGCAATACCGTGCTCTACAGCGCGTTGCTGGGGACACTAGTGAGGAAGCCCGACATCGGGCCGGAAGAGACACCAAAGACTCGGATCCGTGCATAATGCCTCTGCGAGCGCTATAGTACTCGAATCCCCTTCGCAGCCTTAAGAACTACACGACCACTGAATGTATCAAGCCTGATCATTTGTCGGAACCTTAAACATACCAAATTGGGACATGTTGCTTCATGAATTGGCTCGTCGTGTAGAGAGTAGTAGTAGCAATTGACATTGCAAAGAACAAATGTGAATCCTTTCAAGTGTATATTGTGGAGTGCGACATATGGAGTGTGTATGTCATGGCGCGCGACATAGATTCTCGATACACAGACTATCATAATTCAGGCACCATGCTAAACGAGGCGCGGCTACTATATATGGAGCCGTACATAGCCAGATCGAGCGGATCGCGATTGCAATCACCCGATGCCCGTGACGGCACCCAAAGTGGACCAGCGCGCGACAGGTCCTATTTAGGGTATGGCCGCCGCAAGCTCCCGCCAGCGGTGGATGACCCGGCTGTCCCTGAAGGGCAGCTGCCCTTTCGGGTAGTGAGCAAGGCGCCGGCTGCATCTTCATGTATGAAGGTGCAGTCATCACTGCACTGTAACTACTGGGATCTATGTATGACCCCTTTGTGCTAACTACAGGGATTCATACATGGGTATGCCAGCATCTGGTGAAGCAGGACCTGGTAGCGTGGATAACGACCGATGACGTTGAAGAGGCCCTTGAAAAAGCAGGAGCCGGCCGGGCAGCCGGCCTGGATGGCATCCCGTACGAATTCTGGCGGGCCCTACACTCGGAACATCAGCGAAGACAAAAACAAGATGAAAATGCCCCGACCTTTGACGCCCTCCTGTTCCTGCGCAGGGCATACAATGACCTAGAAAGCAATGGCCCGCAGCCGACATCGACCTTCGCAGAAGGATGGATGTGCCCCCTATATAAAAAAGGAGACAAGAGAGAGATTGCGAATTACCGTCCGATAACGCTCCTGAACACGGACTACAAACTCTACACGAGGATCCTAGCCACGAGACTCGGTAAAATAGCGACGTCAATCATACACCCCGATCAAGCCGGGTTTGTCCTGGGACGGCACATCGAAGATCAAACCCAACTGTGCAAATCAGTAATCGAATACACTGAAGCATACGAGCTAGACGGAGTCATCATCGCCCTCGACCAAGAGAAAGCGTACGACAAAATAGACCACGAATACCTCTGGAAGGTACTGGAGGCCTTGAACTTCCCACCAGAATATATCAAGAGGATCCAAAACCTATATAAGAATGCAACCACAATCATCATATTGAACGGTGAATCGAGCTCACCCTTCATAGTCATCCGTGGTGTCAGACAGGGTGACCCCCTATCATGCCTCCTATTCGACATTGCAATAGAACCGCTCGCATGTATGCTGCGGCGGTCCACGCTCCGTGGAATATCCGTTCCTGGAATTGCAGACAAACTCATAACTTCGCTCTTCGCCGACGACACCTCCACCTTCTTATCGAAAGAGGATAAATGGTCACACCTATGGGAAATCCTACACACCTGGTGCAAAGCTTCCAAAGCCAAGTTCAATAAACACAAGACCGAAGTCATCCCGGTCGGAAGTGAGGAATACCGAACCGCCGTCCACTCCACGAGACGTATCGACCCAGAGGACGACGAGTGCATACCCGATGATATACATATCGCCCGCGACGGGGAAGCCGTACGTATCCTGGGCGCCTGGGTCGGAAACAAAGTCGACGAAATCGCCGTCTGGACACCAACACTCACGAGAGTAAAGAAGTTCCTGGAGAGATGGGGCAAATGCCATCCAACGCTACAGGGCAAAAGACATATCATCCAAATGGGCCCTGGCGGAATGACCCAGTATCTCACCAAAGTTCAAGGAATGCCCCAGTCCATCGAAATTGAGCTCACCAAAATCATACGAAACTTCGTTTGGGACAATGCACGACCACTAATAAACCTTGAAACCATACAACGCCCCAGAGACAAAGGAGGACTCGGGATACTCAACATCAAAACACGGAATGAAGCCATAGACATTACATGGATTAGGACGTACCTGGACATGTCCGAGTCCCGCCCAAAATGGGCCTTCGTCCTTGACGAGATCCTGAACCACCACGCCTCGCGAGAGGCTGGAGCCATACGACATGAAGCGCAAATTAATAGCTTCCTGCAAAACTGGGAACCGTCGACATCACACCGATCTAGTCTGTCCAAACAGGTCAAGTCCATCCTCAAAACGGCAAAGCGGTACAACGTCAGCTTCGCCGCCATCAAACTGGACAGAGAACTCAAACTCCAACTACCAGTCTGGTACCACATCGGTGCGGAAGCCCGCATGCGAAGACTCAACAACACCCAAAGAAGTGATTGCCTGAGACTATGCCACGGAGTTCAAAGACTCGCCGACCTGTCCGCAATACTAGCCGACCACGGACCAGACACAGCCCTAAACGATGAACAATGCACCTGCTCCCTCTGCATGTCCGCAGTCGAAAACGGGTGTAGAGACCCTTCCGCATGCTACACCGCGGCAAAGACAATTTTGGACCTAATTCGTCCAAAATGGCACCCAAGTTTCACAGCCCCGCGTGACGGCTTGTCCCTGACGAGAAGGAGGAGGGAAGTCAACGAGACTGCCCTCCTATCGGAAGACAGCGTCACTTTCGACCCATCCGTAACATCGCGAGGAAACATCACAGAGGCTTTCCGCGCCTTCGTAGACACCACGGTCCATGACGCCCCTCCAGCGATACGGCGTCGCCCTGGGCGAACAGTAGCGGAGGAAGCAGAAACGGTGTACCTCCTGGACACGAAAGACGTCCTCAAGCAAGCCGGCCGGAACAGACCACCCGAGCGACACGTCGGATTCGCCTTCTTCGGCGACGGCGACAGGCGTAACACGATCGTCGCACAAACACTCCCGGAAGAAAACGAAGGCAACGCCCTGGGTAGCATCCTGGCGGCACTGTACGCGGCCGAAACAGTGCCAGGCGACGCACCCCTCCACCTGGTCTCGATGTCGAACTTCCTCCGCGAAGCTCTCACCGACAAGCTTGGCCTATGGGAAGACCGAGGATGGAGAGACGTACCGAACGCCGTGCACCTCAGAGCCCTAGTAAACCGCCTGAGAACGCGGTGCGCCATAACCACAATGCGTGTCCGGTCACCTACAACAGACAAAGAAACACTGAAAAGCGCGAAACGGGCAATCCGCATTGCAGCAAACCTCGGAACCATCCGCCGTGCCGATCCGCAGATCGACGCGAGGTTCCTCCTTTCAGGGGCCCGCCTAAGCACCCTGTCCCAAGCACTAGCACATAAAAGCATCAACGCCATGAACATAAAGCCGCAACGACAACGCACCATCAACATCCTAGACTCCGTCCAACACCACTTCGCCACAGCACTTAAGACGGCCGTCACCCACAAGGACATATGGCGAAGCATACGACACCGCGATATCCGCCTCCAGATTACCGATTTCTTATGGAAGATCACACACGGAGCCATGCGCTGCGGCGAGTATTGGGCAAACATCCCTGGCTATGAAGAGCGCGCCTACTGCTCATGGTGCGGTGAACTCGAATCAATGGAACACATACTCCTCGAGTGTACAGCGTCCGGTCAAGAGGTAATATGGGTGTTGGCCGAAGAGACTTGGACCCTGAAAGGCCAGCCATGGAGCACCCCGTGCATCGCAGAAATAATAGGAGTAGGTCTCAGAGCGTGGAAAAAGGCAGGCCCAAGCAAGGATGAGGATAAAGAAGCATCGCGTCTGTGGAAGATCTTACTATCGGAATCTCTCTACCTAATCTGGAAACTCAGATGCGAAAGAGTCATCGGTCACGCCGATGAGGAGGGATGGACCCACTCTGACCGATCAGTGTCCCGGAAATGGGCACACGCAATGAACGCACGAATATCTCAAGATAGAGCGATGACACACGCTCGCTTCGGCCGGACGGCGCTCAAACGAGACCAGGTACTAGGTACCTGGAAAGGTACCCTCAAAGACGAACAACATCTACCGAGCGACTGGACTCGCTCACGGGTTTTAGTGGGTATAGCCCCGGGCGCTTTTGACCCCGGGTGACTGAGCCCCACACTGGCCTTCACCGGTCGTGCGCAACGCATTTCGCCCTGGACGCATGGCGGGGGAACCCGCTTGCAGGCTGGTTGAAAGGACTGGTCCGATTGGCCAGTGCCTCAAACCATCACAGCCCTCCAAAAAAAAAAAAAAAAAAAAAAAAAGCATCGCGGAAATGTCTCACGATTGATTCATCTGGCCCCCCATATCGCCAGACCTTGGCCTTGACCAGATCATCCTGAGCACCTAGTAGCTGACATAAGTATTATACTTAGTTTCGACTCAAGACCTTGCACGCGGCGCTAAGCGTGGGCCGGGGTTTGTGACCCGAACACCGACCACCGACCACCGTTAAATAAGCCGTCCTAGTCGACTCCTACGTGTATCGTTCCCGACGACTATCATTGTCATTGCACTCATTTTCTTCTTCAAAATGAGTGTCTCAAGGCCGTTCAAAGCGACGGACATGTTTAAATTCAACCACATGTGAGACTTCGCGCGTCTCTGCAGGACACCGATTGACCGTCTGGACTCTTCAGCAACCTTGATTTGTGGACAGAGACCGTGAATCGACTCATTGTCCAAATGAAAATGCTCCTCTGACTGATTTTGACTCTTAGTATGGCATCAACTTTTACCTTCAGTACCTGTCGCGTTGGCCGGACTTGTGTTCCGTAGAAGAGTCCCCAAACGGGCGCATGATGGGCTATAGTACGTTCGTTCTTCATGCTTTCCGACGAAATCACTGAAATCCCATGCCCTATGCTAGTTTTGGGGAAGGCCGAAGGCCAAGACGCAGAATGGCATGGGCACATCACTGCCCTCACTGTTGCGCCTGAGTACCGCCGGCTCTCGCTCGCCCGCAAAATGATTGACTACCTCGAGCGCGTCTCGGACAACAACTACCACGGCTTCTTCGTGGACCTCTACGTCCGGTGCACGAACGACGTCGCCATAGGCATGTACGAGGGGCTGGGGTACAGCGTGTACAGGAGGGTGCGGGAGTACTATGGGAGTCTGGGGCTGGGGCGGAGCGCAAAAGACGAGGAGGATGCCTTTGGTGCGTTTTTTTGCCTTGCTTCTGCATGTATGGATCCAGACTCATTGACGTTGTCAGATATGCGCAAGCCGTTGTCTCGAGACCCAATGCGGCGCTCCGTGCGACCAAATGGACGAGAGATCTCTGTGAGCGCTCATGACGCTTCATAGCCTCACCTACGATAGTACCCTTCCAGGCTTGCGGTAGCCCGTATTCGTGGTCAATCGCTAATGTGACGAGCCGTACAGAACGACGGGGAAGACTGCTCTACGTTGGAAGGTCTGACTCCTCTGACATGATGATGCACTGAACATTGTAAACAAATCTGTGCACGTGGCTGACGGTTGAGAACGTCCAGGTCTTGAGATCTTGAGATCTTAGATCCGAGAAACCCCTCCTTCACCGTTCACGCGCACGCGCCGAAGTCTTCAATTGCTGGAATGCTGCTGCCTCATCGCGATACTGCGTGACCACTCAACAAATTCAACTCGCGCGTGCGAGGTCTTGATGCGCAACATCAACACCATCGTCTTGACCCCGGTCCCGCCGTGAGCAGCCAGCCACTTCTCGCAGTCAACGCTCAAACTCGACGTACTATGTCTGAGAGCAGCGAGGGTCGTCAGCCCCTGACATCCTATGTCAGGGGCTGACGCATCTCGCTGCTCACGAAACTCTGGCAACACCCTCACATCTAGTCGGATTCAACTCTAGAACTTCGTCATCTGAAGCTATGACTTCCGCTTCTCCGCCCCCAGCGGCCCCTTCTATGCTTGCGCCTCTGCTACCATACATACTAGGGTTGGTCGTGACGATCATCGGCGGCGTACTGATTCTGTACGTTCTGCGCCGGTCTCGCTCGCGCCAGAAGCGAAATCGCCCGTCTGGCCTTCCAGTCTTTGCAGAACAAGATGCGAGTTCGAAAACGACCGCCGATTCGTCGGGCGTCCGGCGGACGGTACACTGGCTTCGCTGGACCACTTTTCTGGGAAAGAAGCGTTCTCCGGCTAACTCTGCGCCTGAGAAGCACGCGGTCGTGGAGAGTGTTCTTGAGAAGTCGGGCGAAGTAGATCTCGAGGCCAGCATGGCCGCGAGCAAGGTGCGTCCGACTCAAAGCCGTCTACGTAGCGGCACTAGTGACATGGCAATATGACCACCTACGACCTCCCTTCTGCAGCCTGGAGAGCGCTTCGCAACACAGTCGGACGCTGGCGAATCTACACCGAGACGAGGCGATGGCGCCGCCAACGCACACTGCCCTCCTACCGCCTCCACCGCTGCATTGAATCCGCAGAACATATGGGTCAACGGTCATTCTCCTCTTGCCATATTCCTTCCGAGTCTCCGAATCTTCTGAGCATGTCCGACTTGATCATGCGATCACTTGTATTGGTCTGCGATCAATTGACCCAGACTTGGCTTGTGCAAGCTCGCTGAAATCTCTACGTGTGCAAGTCTTGTTCGATGACGAGCTCGTATGTATCGGCAGCAATGATCATGATTCCGCGTCGAGGTATTTCGGTCTGGCTGACGTCTGTCCGAGGTATGTCGCATGTCATCTGTGGGCCCTGGGCCCTAGTGTTCGTGTCCCTTTACCCTCTCCGGTACGCCGCAGCCTGAGCACCCTTCGGAAGCAGTCTCACGGCTGTTAGCGCCATCACGTCCTTCGTTACGCCTTTCTTCAAGCCACGGCTAAGTATCCCGGGGAGTGGTGATACCTTCAGCTTCCGAATGGGACGTCCGAGTCGATCGAGGAACTACTCATCATTCGACGGTCTTGGAGGCTAGTCGACAAGTGGTTTTTCCTTGCAGAGATGGTTGTTGGTGAGTGCCGCTAATATGTAGGGTACTTGCGTGTTAACCGTGGCATTCGTACATGCGAAGGGAGTTACTCCGTAACTTAACTCGTCCACCCGTGTGTCAGGTCGGTTTCATTGGTACGTGGTTCTCTTCTCACGTGGGATGTACAACTCAGTCGCGTGTGAGTGCAGGTACGGATCCGAGAATATCAATAAGTAAGCCGAGTTCGCAGCTTGCCGCGTGCGTTCTCCCATACTTGATAGAATGCAGCCACTGTGTGAGTGTGCCTCCCAGGTCATGAAAAACCACACATATCCCACACATTTATGCACATGTCTCGGACTTCATGGAGCGCTGGTTCAGGCATCAGTTCGCCGACTGCGTTTCTTCCATCACAAATGACTTACGGAAAGAAGAAGCGCATCGGCGTAACGCCCCGGCCTCATGCCATTCTCTATTGAGAGGCCTCATCGCAATCGGCTTCCCCATTCCTGTCCTCGCCATCTCCCCCTCAAGGTGCCACTGACTCAGACTAGAGCATTGACCACAACGTCGCTCCCTCTATCAGCTCTGACTATGACAGGTGTAGTTTTGAGTCTTTCCATGCCATCCGAAGGTTAGATGCTCCAGAGATGCTTGGATGAGATGGTGTCGGCTGATATTTTCCGCTCTCTGTAGATTAGTAGCCCATCTTGCAAGGCAGACATATACAACGTCGCCTGAACAGTGAAGAGTATACGCTCGCGAACTGTGATCCTCCAAAGGTGCGCTTGTTTGATCAGGATTCATATGCAATGCGGGCTTACCTCTTATTGACCGGTGGTTATTGAAATTTCAGGATGGCGATCTGGGAAGTGCCCAAAGTGAATGGTGTTGAATACAGGCTACCCGTTTATACTATGTAAGTATGCTGCTCTTCGTATTGATCAGGTCACTGATTGTGCCATAGCAAGGACACACTGTCAACTCTGCCGCAGGAAGTTATAGAACTCATCGCTAACTTTCTCTCGGACGAACCCGTCCAGCTCGCCACCTGCTGCCTTACATGCAGCGCTTGGTACCATGCGGCCCGGCCTCACCTCAGGCAGTGGAAGACCATCCGGAGCGAAGAGGCACTGCGAACCCTCGTGCGGGTTCTATTGACCAAGCGCAATGAACGATATGGACGCGCGTTGCGCTCCCTGGAGATCTGGGATAATGCAAGGAAGCCGTTTGCGCACGTTTTTTCCTTGCGTGTTCCCGGTCGTCTTCTGGTGCATTTGACGGCACTCCGCTTGCACGGGATAGACTGGTCCACGGTGCGCCCCCATCCAAGGTTCTTCAAGGACCTGTCCGGCTTTGCATCCGTCATTCGTTTAACCCTCGTCAAATGCCGCTTCCGACGTCCCGAGGAGCTCCGCGCAATCGCGAACGGTCTTCCGAACCTCAAATTCTTCTCTCTGTCGCTTATTACAGTCGCTTCCGCTCCTCCTGCGGCAGATGTGATACGCAAGTCCCCATCCATTTCCAACTTGGTACTCGATAAAATCCAACTGTTCGGGTCTGCCAGTGCACCTCAAGCCTACTCCGTCGGGAGTGACGACGTGCAGCGCCTCCACCAAAGCGTTCTTGACGCACTTGCCTCATACTCGACGGTGACATCCCTGCAGCTGGACGCGGATCAGTTTCTCTCATTTCCGCAATGTCAACGCTTCATACGCGCCTTTCCAAGACTGCAGGCCATCCACATGATGCGCGATCCTACCTGGGGCCCCTCAAGTCTCCCAGTCGACGCGGGCCTTCTGGATTCACAAACGAAACCTTGCGCTTGGGACATCATGCAACTGCGTATGTCATCCGTGTCCGCGAAGTTCACTGCGCAGTTTCTTGAGGCATTTGCAAGCGTTTTCTGCAGAGTTGTCACTCTGAGTATAGCCTTGAAAGACGAGCCCACCACTTCATTGCTCTCGGTTGTGAGGATGCTGTTGCGAGAGTCGGGGTCAACGCTGCATCAGGTCGAGTGGCGGTGCAAGGTTGGGATGACGGGACTTCCGCCAGTAAGCCAGTCGCTCGCATATCGCTTGCCTGCTCTACTGATCTTTGCGTCCAGAACAGTCCGGACCCGTTTGCTATCCCTGGCCCACTCACGTACAATGTCAACCTAACTCAGTTACACGTGTCATTCAACGTGTATCCCCCAGCAAGCATGTCATCATTCAGCTTGAGTCTATTGGCGTTTTTCTCGCAAATCGAGAGCCAATGTCTTCAGGGCATCGACATCCGCGTCTACGTCAAGCGCCTCCCTCTTCCTCTCATGAACACCGACACGCAATCAGCGACGGCAAAATTTGTCACCGACTTTCATGCCGCACTATCCCGCGGCGTCTTCGCCGGGCTCCCTGCTGGCAGCGTTCGAGTTGGCTTCGTCCTCAGTACGGAGACGGACATTCTGCCAGTCGGAACCGTTCTCAGCCTGGTGGCGACCATTGAATCGTCCTTGGTGCCTTGTTTCACCCCATGGCTATGTCGGGGAGTCGTGGCGATTCAGCTTCCGGACGGGACTACCATTGAGGATAATCCACGCGACGAAGTAGCTCGAAGCCCCCCTACTACCGTGCATACTATCGAGGACACAGACTCAGACCACGCGTCGTGACAGGTGGGTGTCGCTGACTTCTCGAGCGCGGCGTGCGTACTCACTGGCAACAGCTATTCTGCAGTCACACGACGATACCTCTTCTCGACGGGGAGCACTGATACATCTGTGAGTAGAGAGGACAAAAGGAAGAGCATTACTTACTACATCGTATATCAGCAACGTCGACCTCATCCGAGGGGTCGGGAATCTATGTACTAGTCTCTTTCGTTGGCGAGCGCATATGTACACTACGCATCTTCTGCATCTTCAGTGCCAGTGCGCATACGGTGTGGATAGGCGCGGGACAATATTGCAGGAAGCGACATCGCTGCCAAGTACACGCTTGCGGACGTATGAGACAGCATATGTATGACGACCAGGGCCCCATGCAATTAGTGATAAGAAGGGGTAGGCTATACAGAAGTCTATGATCACTCGAGCTTGATGATGGCTCCGAGGTCCTGGAAGGTCTTTTGCAGCTTCTCTGCATCCTCCTTGTTCACGTTCGCTTTGAGTGTTTGTGGCAAGGACTCCACGAACTTCTTGGCCTGCGAACAAGGATTAATGAGCGGGAGCTCCGAAGGTAACAGTGTGGAGGGCGTACCTCGATGAGAGTCAGGTTGGGAACCATAGCCTTCACCTCCCGGATGATTTTGGGCTTCGCAGTGGCCTCGAAGGACTCGAGCTTGACGGTGAACACTGACTTCTCCTTCGGCTTTTCCTACACCGCAATGAAGCATTAGACTATGAGCAGAGGTATAGGTTGGACGGTACGTACCTCCGCTACCTCTGGTGCTGCCTCCGCAGGGGCGGCGGCTGGTGCAGCAGCTGCTGGCATGGCGATCTCCTGAATGTTCAGTCTCGACTGCGGTGAGGTAAGGTGAGGTTTTCAGTGAGCACGCCAAGCCTCCGCGAACGTACTGTAGTGACGCACCTTCAAGAGAGCCACCAGATCCGACGCCTGCAGCAAGGTAAGACCAGAGATGTCGTCAACAATCTTCTTGATCTTCGGGTCAGCGGCGCTGGCAGGCGGTGGAGGCGGAGGTGTTGACGAGGGCTCTGTGGCCGCCGCGGTAGCGAGACATCTTGACGAGCTCGCGAATGCGCTGGAACTGCACAGTGGTCAGGGCACGGGTGCAACGCTGGCAAGCCTGCAGACATACCGAGCGGCGCGGTGTGTTCGGGCAATAACCCTGAGGGCAGAGGAGCACCGTGTCTGGATGGGGAGAATGAGTGCTGGACTGGAATAAGTGTGGAGGACCTACGGCCATGTTGCATACGCGGAGTCGCGGACGTCGCTGCCAGAAAATCCGCGCTGCAGGCAAGGGCGCGTTCGAGCCAGCCACGTGCCTTTCACGTGCAGAGGGCGCGCCCGGATCAGCTGGATCTTATCAGATAAGGCAAGAAGCAATCCTGCGCAAATCCTGCGCGTCCGGGTCGCTCCTCGCTTGCACATGTACATCGGTGTAGTACGCAGCAAGCAATTGACAGTTTCTACTCAGCCCCATCAGCAATCTGTCTTCAAAAAGCCTCGCTAGGACATATGCTGTACGATCGGTTTACATCCGCCATTGTGACGGTTACGGCCCCGAGACGGTGAGTCAAGAAAGCATCGCAAAACGCACATGGCGCAATCGGCGGTTCATATGGACATACTGCTTGATCGCACGCGCATCAGCTCTCCCAAGGCACATCACCATAAGTATATGGGCGACTGTCATCTGCCCGCAGCAAAGAGCTGCTCGGTGTTGACCCGGTGAGTGCCCGATGTCATAGCCAGACGAGTCGGAGTTCGGCGCCCGAGAGGGAGACGTACACGTTCGCAACTTCTGACTTCCAACTTGAAGATTGATATGCTGCCCTGACATTTGACGCAGATGGCGATCCTCGCAGCAACTGAAGGCCCCTGGAGGTGCGGCCACGCCCGCGGAGTGATTAGGCCCATGCGCCGACGGGCCGCGCGTATGACTATGCAGGTACCCAGGTCGTCAGTATATAAGGCCGGCTGGGATAGGGTAGCCCTATACTAGACGACCCCAAGCCTTCCATCAACTAACTACCGAAAGTGACCATTCAATGGCTACTTCGCCGATCTCCGTTCTCATCGTAAGTAAAGCCGCGAGTATCGACAGTCCAAACTCCAAGCTGATCGTCGTCACGCAGGCTGGTGCCGGGCCCACTGGGCTTGTTCTGGGACTGACCCTCCTTCAGAATGGCATCCAAGTCCGTATCGTTGACAAGGACCCGAACCGCCATCCTGGACAGCGGGGTTCTGGCTTGCAGGTGAGCAATACGCGCACGGTACATGACGTTTGCTTACAGGCGGACGTGCAGCCGCGTACACTGGAGCTGTTCCACTTCCTCGGCGTTCTTGACGATGTGGACGCCATGGCATTGTCTATTATGCCGAGGCGCGAATACAAGCTACCAGGAGGAACAGAGACGCTCAAGGTAGCGATGATAGCTGCCATCGAAGATCCTACCCCCTCAACCCCTTACGTGAGCTCGATCGCCGATATGCATCCTTCCTGCTGACCTACACCGCCTTGCAAGGTCAACGCAAGGTTGCTTGGCCAGTACAATACCGAAGCGATTCTTCGTGCGCACATTGAACGCCTTGGGGGCACTGTAGAGTACGGGACCGAGCTGCGTGGCTTTGAGCAGCACCCAGACCACATCGAAGCAACGCTTGTCACCAAGGACGGCGAGAAGGACAAGACCGAGACACTGGCTTCCCACTGGCTGGTAGGTACGGATGGTGCCCGAGGTAAGCTATCCACGTCTCCGATAATGTCGTACACTGACGCGTGATGCCATAGGCGTTGTTCGCAAGCAACTGGGCCTGTCTTTCATCGGGGAGACTCGTACGGACGGAGTAGTAATTTTGCTCGGTCTGGTCGAAGTCCAGGGACTTGACGCGAAGGTAGGTTTCCAGTCCAGACCCGATCAGTCTTTCTGTCGGGTTAGATGCAGAGTTCGCTGACTGGTCTCGTGGTAGCACTGGCACCAGTGGGCAGAAATGAATGCTGGCGGGTGCGTTGCCATGGAATTGCAAGAGCTTACGGCTCTCTAATCATTCCGTTCAGCCTTGTATTGATCCCTACAGAGAGGACCGGATACTACAGCTTCCTCCTCGGAGGGGTGCAAGATGTGGAAAAGCTGTTGGTGGACAGAGACGCACTTGTCGAGACCCTCCTCAATCGGGTTGAGCGACAGGACTTGGTGTTCGGGAAAGTCGAGGCGGTCTCGTCATACAGGCGAGTGTTGGGTAGGACGTTTCTCATGCCAGCTTATCATCGTTCGTTTCGATGTACAGGCCGAACATCCGCATGGTGGACAAGTTCGGCGAAGGCCGCGTCTTCGTCGCCGGAGGTAAGTCTAGCGGCTGCTACTGAATACGACGAGGCGGCTAACCCACAACGTAGATGCGGCGCATGTTCACAGTCCAGCTGGTGGCCAGGTAAGTCGGGCGCACATCACCCGCCTCTATCGAACGAAGCCTAACGTTGTTTCTTAGGGCTTAAACTCCAGTGTCCAAGACGCGGTGCGTATTGCGATCCCATCACAGCGCTTTCCCAATTGACGGATCCCGCCCAGTTCAACCTCGCATGGAAACTCACGCTCGTCGAAAAGGGCCTCGCCTCGCCCTCGCTGCTGGCCACCTACACCGAGGAGCGCCTCCCCGTCATCGCCGCGATGCTGCAGAAGAGCACGGACCTCTACGACGCCATGCGGAAGGGCGACCAGCGCGGCTGGGAGCGTGGAGGCAACCTCAGGATGCTCGGCGTGAACTACCGCTGGAGCTCCATCGTCGTGGACGAGCGCACGCCCAAGGCCCAGTCGCCCGAGAGCGTCAATCCCTATGGCTCGGGCACCGACGGTGATCTCAGAGCGGGCGACCGTGCGCCTGACGCACCCGGCCTTGTCTCTGTCGGCAGCGAGGAGGCCGGCGGCTCAACGTCGCTCTTCAGCGTGTTCCGCCCTTCCCACCATACAGCGCTTCTGTTCAACCTACCTGCCGAGGAGACGGAGCAAGTACTCAGAGTGGCACAAAAGTATCCGTCTGGCTCTGTCAAGACGGTGTCGATTTACCCTCAGGGCACGTCAGTACCCAATGTCATTGGACGCCCGGACCTTGCGGTGGTCGACAAGGACGGCCATGCGTACGCAGGATACCAAGTGTCCCCGGAGAAGCCGACGATCGTGATCGTGCGTCCGGACGGGGTCGTGGGAGGGATTGTCTACGGTTTGTCCGGCGTCGAGCAATATTTCAGAGGTGTCTTCGACGCCACGGGCGATGCGCTCTAAGTAGTGCGCTCAGATATGATATTCACCGTCTAGACCATGTGTACCATTAGTAAGCATTATCATTATACATCCCAACTCCGTACTTCCAAGTCCATATGCATATGAAGCAAGCAACCGACATGCAGTGGTGAGTATCCCATGATAGAAAGCACGACAGCGTATACGAGCAACAGCGTACGACATGATGGTGATGATGAAAGTAATATGCAGCAGCAGAGTCTACTCGGATTTGATCGGTGTCGCATGAGTTTGCTGAGACGGCGAGACCTTCGGCTCGTCGTGCATGTCAGCATCCTCCTCCGACTTGAGGTGCTTCACTTCGACGACCTCCGCATCAAAATCGACATCATCGTCGCCGTTGTCATACTCCAATTTTGGCTCCGGTGTCTCTGGCTCGGACGACCCCCGCTTGCGCTTCTGACTCGCCTTCAGAGTGTCCGAATCTTTCGACTTTCCCTTCGGCGGAGTGTAATATTTGTAGTTCCTCGCGAGGACACGTTGAAACTGGATGTCGTAACTGACGCACTTCATTGCCCAGACACCGATCTCCTAAGTAGTTCAGCTTAGCATCAATAATGCTAACTTGCACACCACAGAAGATAGATCTCACTTCTTCCCCTCTGTCGTATGCAGCAACGATATCTTCCCATGCAAGCTTGCGGCGCACTGCAGCCATATGTTGGTTGTCTTCGACGACTTCAGAGATCTCATCCTCGGTCGGTTCTCTGTGGTGTTCCTTGCGGAAGCACACCCTAGCCGTAACTACGCTTCCCCAGGACTTCTCAAGGATGTCCTTCCCCACGTCCTTCGTACCTGTGCAAGAACAAGGATCCAATAAATACCCTCAAAGAAGATGAAGAGACTGACTGCAAGGGGCTGACGAGCAAATTCATCTGTCCTCAGAGACTCCGAAACGTACATCCGGTACTGTCCCATGTAGCTCCAGAGTGCAGGTTTGTCTCGCACCCTCACGAATACACGGTGCACCCTGCGCGTAAAACCACCTTCGTTGTCAGCTGGTTTTTCTCCAAAGAACAGGCCCGGGTCGCCGGGGTTGACCGGGGCGTGCGGGTTGAATTCCAGCAGGAGACACATGAAGTCGTCGAGCAAGTGAACTTGGGTCTTCTCTGGTGCCGGGTGAGGAAACGAGTTGACGAAGCTGCCTCCGTAGAGGTGATGTAAGTAGTGGCGGTTGAACATGAACCTCAGCGTCGGCTCATCGAGGTCTATTCGATACGGATCCAACCCGACTACCTTCATCCGGTCCGCAACCGTCTTCCACGTAAACTGCGAATCCTTCTTGATCTTGGCGATAGGCTGAGCGGAGCTATAAGCAATACAGATGGCATAGTAAAATCAGAATCAATTCACATTCCTGAGTCGCAGAACAGCTTCGTGCTGTTGCTCGTCCGTCAGGTCGTAGTAGGTTCCAGGTGGTGGCAACTGGGCTAGCCAGTCATCCTCAAGGGGCTCTGCCTTTACCGGTATGCCCGTGTCTAAACAGTACGTTGTGAACATTGTCCTCACCTGTGCTGAAGCAACTGTATCGTATACGACTCACCAGCCTCCTCGAGCTTCGAGGCAGCGGCCTGCGCTGCCTCTTTGCGCTCTACCTCAAATCGCTCGACCGTTGGAACGAGGATATACCACTGGGAGGAGGGCCGCGAAGCCCCGGGTAGCTGAGCGGAACCGACTTGAACAGAGTCCTCCTCCTTCGT